AGGACATCTCTCTACATTTGGTTTGTTTGGAACTTCCAGGCTGGTCAGCGTGGGAATATCATGTTATATTGCCATGCTTGGATTAGAATTTTACAGTTTCAAGATATCGATTGAGAGATTTTTTTCCAGCTTTTATTAGTAATGAAAACCTTCAATGAAACTCTTTTTTTCCAAAGGAAGTCTTACCAGACAAGTCAGTATAATAAAGCAGAGTTGGATAAATGAGAATAGAAGTCCCAAGAACCTTACTCATTTTTGCTTTTCCTTTCTCTGCCAAGCCCCCCATCTTTGGAGCCCCCATTGGTCCTCTGTAACCCTTATGGCTTCTTAGAGCAGGGCTTGAACCAATGGTGTAATCTAAGGCACTCAAATTGAGAGATGTGAAAACCAAAGTCAGAGAGGTTCCTTGAGTTCTCCAAGCTCACGGTGGGGTGGTAGCAGAGCCATGACGTATGACCTAGGTTCTCTGGTCCCCTGTTTAATACTCCACATAGTCCAATTTTTGCCCTCACATCCCTTCACCTCCATCAGTGTTAGAGCTTGAAGGTGCCAAGAGGGGGCTGGATGTGTTAGGCAGGACCCCACAGGGAAGGGTAGATGGGTGGCTGTGCTAGCAGACTCAAGTCTGCTGTCCAGGATCCCAGCCTGCGTGTTTTCAGGGTTGGTGAATTTATTCACTTGAGACTGATTTATAAATGATTTATACGTGAAGATGCCTCTCAGGTTTACAGTAGAGTGCGTGCTTTTCCAGAGCATATACTTTTATTTTTCTGCCAATTCACTTAATTTCTGGTAGCCTTGGCTGCTAAGCAGTGGAAGTCTAATTCCTGATGGAGTGATTTAAGGCACAGAAGGGCTTCTCTCCAGTCTCTGTTCAGCATTTGTATGGCTGTGTCTCTTCAATTCGCTCCCTACTCCACCTACTCCAGTGGCTACTTGTTACTGTTATAGGAAATTGGTGTTAAAGCTAGTGGGGGAATGAGAAATACCAGTGAATGCAAAAGTCAAGAAATGACAGATTTCAGTTGCAATAGTACAATTTTTTTACTTGCAAGTTTTCAAATCATATATTATCTGGCCTTTGTTGGTACGTGGAAGTTATGTGCAGCAGTATATAAAATGCAATATGTATGCATGCAGATATGCTGCTGACTTTTATATATGTGTTGATGAAGCCCTTGAGAGCATCCTCATGAAGGCCAATATGTGGATTTTGAAATTGACTGAGAGTCAACGTCTCGTTCCTTTCATCCTCACCACTTTTCTAAAACGAGGCCAATTTCCATGGAGAGAAGAGTCATGTTCAGCCATGATGGTCCCATTGGAACCAAGTGTGTGGGGGTGGTCCAGATGTGAGCTGTATGAGCTAAGACGACTTTGCTTTGATGTGAGACACGACTTTTACCAACCTTCCCCAAACATGTCTTCCCATTTCCTGTGGGATTGTAGTATACACTTGTTTAGTGATTGCTAAAGTAGTGTAGAAACAAATGTGAATCTGGTTTGCATGCTTCCTTTCCTTTAGCAGAAACGAAGGGGGCCTCTGGAATCCATGCTGTTCCTGTGGAACATGTCAGAAAATACCACCCTGAGCTCCTCAGTTGAGATTGGCTGCAGAGCATTCTAACTGAACTTTTCTGGAGGGGGTTTGGTGGAGCTGCTGGGAGGGGCTCTTGTTCTTGCAGTGGATGAGAAGAGTGGTCAGTCAGATCATTCTCTCATGGTTTCCCAAAGCTGGCATCTGCGTTGGCAGCATGTCCTCTTGTGCATTTGGATTCTTTTCCCCGAGTTCGTAGCAGCTATAAATTGGAAGATATTTAAGTCTGTTACTTTTGAAGATTAAAGGTATTTCTCTGTTTCATAACACATGTTCTCAGCATGAATTTGTCTGGTGACAGAATGAGGGATTTCTAAAGAAATGCGTATGTTCAAGGCTCTTCTTAATGTTTATTTCAGTCCTGTCTACTGGGCTAGTCCAGTGATTTTTGGGATCTTTACCCTGTATGAAATTAATCTAAAATTGATTGTTCTGGATTTGATGCCATCTATTTATATTAACAGGCTATGAATAGTTTGTTTTGTTGCTGCCCACATGTACTTTCCTCAGCCACATAAAATCAATTTTCTCTAACGACCTGGACGCTATCCCTGATTATTTGGGAGTTACCTTATTATTCATTGTACCTATGCAGGGGCAGTTGGCCAATCCTTGCAGCATTCCTATGATACCCAGTTATAATAACTGTTTCTTTATTTGTGTTATTAAATTGGAGGTTGAGTGAGTTGGAGAGTTAATAAGCCAACTGTCCAGTTTACAATTGGTAGTAAAGGCTGAGGGTTTAATCAGCTAGTCTAATATTGTATAAGCTACTGGTTCCCAAATGCTGGTCCAAGGACTGTGAGTACTTTTTAGAAACACATTCCTAGTTCTGTCTCGAGATTCTCCTTCCTTATGTCTTGATTTAGACTCCAGGTATCTGCCATATTTAGAAGTACCTTGGAAGATTCTGATGCGTGGACATCAAATGTATGCACAATGTAATGACTGTGCTTTTTATAATAACGTTTTTCTTCTCTGTTGGTGTCTCAGATAATTTTGGAATGCTTTAACTATAGTCTTAAATGGTGTCTGTTTATCAGAACGTTCTGGACTGTGTGGGAGAAAGAACATCAGGCCGGCAGTTGGGGACCTGGTTGACCTTTCATCACGTTGGGGGCTTTTGATCTGTCTAGGTATCAGTCTCATAAGTTGAGGTGGATTACCCAAAGTGCTTTCCAGATTTCTGACATTCTTTGATTCCAAGGGCTTTGCCCTCCTAGGAATTATATTCATCATCGCTGTTCATTGTTAGCTGTTGCCTCTTCTAGTTGGGTGATTGCCTAGTCGCACAACAGAACATTGATCATGGCCTGCTGCTCAGGACAGCTGGTAGCCATCCCTAGATCCAAGACTGCCTCTCTTCCTTCCTCCTGCCACTACCAACCTCCCAGAACAGATTGAAGTAAACCATTCCCCTGGGGAACAAGCTCTTACACTGAGGTTTCTCTTAAGGAAAATTCAGGTTGTAATTCTGACCTTGTGTATACCAAGCCTTGGCAGTTTTCACCCACTGGGCCCTTTGTGCAGGCTAGGGACACTTGTGCCTTTGGGCACGAGATGTGACTGATGTAGTCTAAGGAGCTCATCTTGCACTGCCTCATCCTCCTTCCACAGATCTTTTGTTTCCAGGAACTTCCTGCATATTCTCTAGGGGGGCTCGTTGGAGCAGGGGCAGAACATGATACCCCTTGAAATCCCTGGTTCTCACCCTTTGCAGAGCATCAAAATGGTCTATAGTGCTTTTACAATTGTACATGCCCACATCACCCCAGCCCTGCCGGGGCCTGCTGATCACGTTCTTCAGGATGGGATTGGACACATGTGCTTTGTAAACTCTCCCTTCTCCTGGAGCCTCCTCCTCATCCTGCAGACTGGGCCCATGCACTGTTCCTCTGTCTTTTGTAATTATTTTTTGTTAAGGCAGATATAAGTAAATGGAGATTGGTTATCAGAATACAGTGAACCATGGTTTGAATCTATTGAGAAAATTAAGTTGCTTTAAGACTAGAAGGGCTCAGGGGTCGAAGTCAGTTCACCTTCACGTTCTCAGCACACGGGTTAAGCACAGGAACCAGCACTAAAGATTTACTCCTGACCACAGTGGTCTGACGGTTCTTGTTTCACCAATGTGATGGAGAGTAGTAAGTCATTGACCCTTTTCCTTAAGTGTGTTTTAATATAATTACTTGTTTATCCTCTGTTCAGTGCAATTCAGCAAATATTATTGAGAACCTACGCTGTGCTAGGCATTGTTCTAGATGGTAGGGATAGAGGAGTGAACAAAACATGAAATTCCTGCCTTCATGGGACTTTCTGTTCACCAAAATATATAGAGAGAGTCACATAGAATTTAGTATGATGAAATTAAATGGCTGCGTTATAGCATTATGAAATACCACTTTAGGAGAATTCTTTAGAATTGGCCTGAGTATCCCTAAGATCAGAAATGGAAGCAGATCATTTAGTTAAGAATGTGAAACCTGGATTAAATTTGCAGAATGTTAAGAGACTGTGTTTTTACTAATACAACGTGTAGTGCGTAGGTGTCCAGGTAAATATATTCTGAAGGCAGAATGAATAAACCAGGGGGCTCCAAAAAAGGTAGCTAGGGACACTGTCAGAATTAAAGTTTATCCTTTGATTTTGGGAATAAGTCTTCAGAGTTATTATTTTGTGCAAGTCTTTCTTTGACTCTATGCTTTTTAACTCCGTGTATTTAATTCCATGTGTCTGCAGCTGCCTTAGGCCCTGGAGTTCACGGTATTTTATCTACTTCTTTCACCAGTCCAACTAAAGCATTCATTCGAGCTGAATGCATATTATTTCAGACCTCTGGGGAGCAACTTCAGAAATTACTGCTTATTTCTATACTCACCTTGAATGGGTTAATATAGCTTCCCAGATCGTCTACTTCTGTGTTGTAGTTTATGCACTAAAATTATTTGATTCAGTTAGACATAATAGGAACATTTTCGATCTGCTTTTCAAGGAATTTAAATACTAAATTATTCAAATCTTTTAGCATCTCTGTTTTAAAAGTGCTTTTGTAAAAAGGAAAACGGGTCTCTCTCTTTTATTTTGAATCATAAACAACATTCTAGGCTTCTGAATGCAGGCTAAAAAATTGACAGAACTGCAAAGATAACCAATGAAAGAAAAACACATTTGATAAGATTTCAAAATTTCAAGAGAACATGCGAAAACAAACCCAAGGATCAGGTTTTGGTCCTGGCTCATGTTGCTCTTTGTTACTAAACTAACTTAGAGAAGAAGTGCATAGTGTGTGAGAGAAGGAAAAAAGGATATTCTGGAAATCATTATTAACGCTAAAATTTCTGTATCTAATTTTAGACTGCTTATGTTTGGAATTTCATGTGCGTGGTGAAAATGTGTGTTTCAGGTCTGTGGAGAAAAACAGCGCTTTGAGAAGTTGATGGAACATTTCAGGAATGAAGACAATAACATAGATTTTATGGTGAGTTATTTCAGTACTACAGTCAATAAAGCAAACTCAGTTTCAGCCCTTTTTCCTAAATCCATTCATATTTATATATGTGTGTGTATGTATGTATATGCATGTAAATGTTACAAAGGACAGGAAATTGAGTATGATATGGTATAGATCCAATCTAGAGTGTCCTTTTTTTTAATTATTCTTTTAAAAATTTTATTTATTTTTTGGTGAGGAAGATTGGCCCTGAGCTAACATCTGTTGCCAATGTTCCTCTTTTTGCTTGAAGAAGATTGTTGCTGAGCTAACATCTGTGCCAGTCTTCCTCTGTTTTGTATGTGGGATTCCACCTCAGAATGGCTTGATGAGTGGTGCATAGGTCTGCGCCCAGGATCCTAACCCACAAACCTTGGGCTGCCGAGGCAGAGCACGTGAACTTAACCACTATGCCACCAGGCCAGGCAGGCCCCTAGAGTGTCCTTAATCTGTATTTTCCCTTTATGGTGCTTATTTGCAGTTTTGTGCCTTGCATACACACTATAATAAAGGCCAGAAGCACTAATTATTTACAGCAAAATAGAGTAAAGCCATGCATTTGAGACAAAGAAGTTAACTCCTGGTGCGAATGCCTGCACTTGCCAGCTTTACCTGTCGATAGTGCTGCAGAAGAATCCTGTAGATAGAAACCAAGAATCTTGACCAATTTGTCTTTTGCACATCTCAGCTGGGGGCCTTCTCCAGACTTCTCAAAGACTAAAGTGCTTTGGTTCTTAAAATTGACTCTACGTGTCCCCCACGATTAGCATAGAGCCGTGATCCTCCCCCTGTGATCTCTGTCCTGCTCTGGTAATTCTGTGGGGTGGACTCCTACTGCAGATCGCCTTAGCAGGGTGGATCACATTCAGGAACCTGGGGCCAAGCGGCAGGACTGTCCTCTTCAGGCACGAACAGCAAAAGGAGTCTGAGCACTTCTGAATTCATATACCTAAATCTTAATCCTGGCCTGAAGATGGAATCTACTAGAGAGAATTTCCTGAGACAGATTACCCTGGAGTGCACCCCAGTCTGCAGTCTTTCTTTGACCTAATCCAGTCAAGCCAGGGAACTGGGGAACCCGGGAGATCTTACCAGATCACTTCTAGCCTGGAGCAGATCCCCAGTCATTGTGGACTCTTCTAAAACGTGTGCTTGGATGCCAGGAAAAGTTTTCATTTGAATTGCTTTAGTGATTGTAAAACATGGAACATAGCTTTGCAGATTTCTAACCCTTTTATGTGAACGTTTTTCCCCAGTCTTCAAATTTTGTATGCATCCTAGCCCTCAGCCCCTTCCAAAATCAGTCAGAAAGATGAAGACCTTTATAGGGCAGCTTTTCTGTTCCATAAAGCATGTTATTTGCCTTTTAAAAAGGTAAAAAATAAATGTGAAACAAGAATACTTTTACATTAACTTTTTAGTTCTTGTTATTAGAATTTCTTTGGCATGTTTGAGGCTAACGTTAGCGCCGGTGATACATGCATAACAAAGTCATGCCCTGGCTAACCTACAGTTTCTTTCCTCTGCCCTGATAGGGGGAACTTATTTGTTCCTTAAAGCTGAGTTTGCAAACTGCAAGCTTTCAGGCTGAAGCCAGCCTACAGGCTTGTGAGTTTAGTCTGACAGTGATGTCCCCCCCACCCAAATTTGGAAATTACTCATAAAAATACAGATTTCTGCTTTTCTTAAACATTTCTGGTAACACTAGGCCTCTGTTCTTGCAGAGTATCAGCTGCTGGAGTCAAGTAGCCCTTTATTCTTTTGTCTGAAGATATCCTTTCTAGTTCATAACAGTCCACACCATTCCCTATTGTATTATACATGGCCCACCTCACTCATTTACCATACCTAGCGTATCTCTCTGCCATTTGAGTTTCTGCTGAAATTATATTAAGTCCTTTAAAATGTCTGCACTGTTTACAGATGAGAGTGTATTTCTTGTGAGTTCATTTGTTTATATGTACATACATTGAGGAACCATTTTTAGAGGCTGCTAGTGTCCAGGTACTATGTGCTCGATTCATGTGTCACCTAGCAAATAGTTTCCTCTTAGGCATATCATAAAACTCAACAGATCATTTAGACATGCTTTCAGAAGAGAAATGGAAAGATGCCAGAATCCAACCATATTTTTCCTCCAGAAAATGAGGCTTTTCATAAACTGTCTTAGGAATGCAGTTAAGTAGTACAACCTCCCAAACAACATATTCCTCATAAAATATAATATAAATTTTTCTAATGTAGCATAAGACCTTTTTCTCTAATTTTTGTGGACCAAAGAAAAAACTGAGAAAATCTTTTTTAGTTCATTTAACTAAAGAATTTGAAGTAATTTTTTAGTCAATTTCAATAGCATCCTCTTATAACCTAGAGAGTTTACACATCTTCCAAGATATCCAATGTATAACATATACTCAAAGAGGAATCTAACTGGATTAAAACAATTTACAAAAAGATAAAGGAAATCGGGTTTGGCGGAGAGAGGAAGAGTAAGGCAATTTTCAGAGTAAATGTGAATCTGGGTCCCTCAATCATTTGCCTTCTTGCAGGAGACTCTGTTTAACCATAGAGGAAGAGCATTAGTAAGATATTTTCACCATAAATAAACTGACTGTCACTATTAAAAGCAAAATAGATCTGTTGAACTCTGTTCTGTTACTTACCAGTGTGGGGACTGGCTTTCTCTGGGGCAGGTCTCAGGGCCACTGATGCAGTTGTGGGAAGAAAGCAGTAAATCCAAGGCTTTTATGGAATGGAAACTGGTTGATTGTTTAAAATGGAAAAATGGGTCAAAGGTTCCGTTAAGATCCTGTTAGAATGGTGGGGCCCACAGTGAAATGTTAGAAGTTGTCTTGTGGGGCCACTATAGGTGATTTAAATGTTCTTTGTAATAGTTTTTACATTTTTCTGAAATATACCTGTAATAACTAACACAGTTTGTTTGATATACCTATAAGACTTTTTAAAAATAGCTTTACTGAGATATAATTAACATACCATCCAACTTACCTATTTAAAGTGTACAGTTCATGGGGCTAGCCTGGTGGCATAGTGGGTAAGTTCACACATTCTAGTTCAGTGGCCTGGGGTTTGCAGGTTTGGATCCCGGGCGTGGACGTAGCACCACTCATCAAGCCATGCTGTGGTGGCATCCCACATACAATAGAGGAAGACTGGCACAGATGTTAGCTCAGGGCCAATCTTCCTCACAAATAAAAACAATAAGAAACCAAAAAAATGAAGTGTACAGTTCAACATATTTTTAGTATTTTTGCAGGGTTGTAATTCAGTTCCCTGAATTAACACCTGCAGTGTAATATTTTGTTGCCTCTGCATGGATCCCTCTACCCATTAGCAGTCACGCCCCATTTTCCCCATGCCCAGTCCTAAGCAACTACTAACCTGCTTTCTGTCTCTCTAGATTTGCCATTCTGGATATTTTATATGAATGGAGTCATAATATATGTGGTCTTTTGTGACTGACTTTTCTCACTTAGCATAACATTTTCAAGTTCGTCCATGTTGTAGCACATATCAGTACTTCATTCCTTTCTATTGTCATGTAATATTGTGTTGTATGGATATATCACGTTTTTTTAATCTATCAGTTGATGCTCATTGTTTTTTTGCCCCCTGCTTTTTTGTTATTATGAACATTTGTGTACAAGTTTTTATATGGACATATATTTTCATTTCTCTTGGTTATATACCTAGAAGTGTGATTGCTGAGGCGTGTAGTAACTGTAGTTAACAATTTTGAGGAACTGTCAGACTTTTTGAAGTGGCTGCACTATTTGACGTCCCAACCAACAATGGATGAGGGTTCCAATTTTTCCACATCCTTGTCAACACTTGTTATTGTCTTTTGTTTTGATTGTAGCCATCCTAGTGGATGTGAAATGGTATCTTATTGTGGTACCTTTATGACTTTTGAATTTAAAAAAATGTGTAAAATATTTTTAAAGACCTAGTGAAATGAAGGAAAAGGAAATTGGTAAGTGAGCTTAGATTTATGCAGTTAAAAGCATGTGCTTATGATTAAACTGAGAAAACAAATTTGGAGCTGTCTCACCCATTGGCAATTTCATTTCAGGTGGCCTCTATGCAGTTTATTAATATTGTAGTCCATTCAGTAGAAGACATGAATTTCAGAGTTCACCTCCAGTATGAATTTACCAAGTTAGGCCTGGACGAATACTTGGATGTAAGTATAGCTGTAACCTTTGTCTCCAACATAAGACTTGATTTATCACTTACCCTCAAAGATACACTTCCGTAGTGACCAAAGAACGCTTAAAGCCTATGTAGTTAACTTCTCTAGTGCTAGTTAAAAGGGACCAATCTGAGTGATGCAGTCTGCCAGAGAAACTGGATTCCTGCTGGCCCCCTGGGACCCTAGGCTGTCTTCTGCCAGCAGCTGTTTGGCCCTGGAGTCAGATCACCTCGTGTAGCCTTGCTGCAGTTTTCGTCTGCTGCCGAGCTCTGTCTGGGTCCAGTCTCGTTGTCCCCTTCATCTGTGCTGTTGAGCAATTTGCATTCTTCCTTACTCTGGGGACCCCATCTGGGCAGAGGAAGTCAAACCAAGACTGCTGTGGAGGGTTGAATAAATGCTTACTGCATCAAAAAAATGAGGAAATCGACACTAGGAGACTTCTTCATGTAGCTGTTAAATTCTGCTTAGAGTGCTTGTAGCTTCAGAAGTTCCACGTTTAGTTCTTCGGAGAAGGGGATCTAAAGTTTCTCTTTCTCCCGCTCCCTTACCAATGCTCAGCCAGTTCCTTCAGGTTCTTCAGCTTAGAAACAAAGTTGATGTGAAAATCGTAAATGGACTTGAGTAGCTCTGTGTGCGCAGGATGTACCCTTGTCCTTGGACTCTTGGGGGGTTTTGTTTTCCCCTCTATATAGGAGTGGTTGGCTTGAATTTGGAAGACTATTAGTGATAGGGCAAGGATGGTTGACCTCAGTTTCAAGGCTGTTTCTAGCTATGAAGAAGATAGACAGAAGTACTTTTCTTGGACATCTCCAGAGTTCAGCTGCCCCTCTTCATTAGAGGGTGAAGCCAGGGAATTACACAGAATGTACCCTCAGTTCTTTGCAAGGTGGAATTGCAGAATTGGTTACTTTGGAGCTCAGGGCCTCATCAGACCAACTGCGGGGTCCTGGGCTAGACTGGCCTTATTGTTGTCTGAAGAGTCTACACAGGGAGAAACATGATGGATTTCCATTAGAGAGTTGTTTGAGTTGTTTTCCCATTTAAAGTCCCACTGATATCTTTGACAAAATATTGTATTGGAATCCAGTTTTTTTCCTGCTTTGAGATCAAAGTTTGTCTGTTTTCTTTCCCCACATGCTCTGAGAATGGCAGTATGGGACCAAAAATTGGGTGTGTAGATTCCTAAGGTGTTCTGGGTTCAGTCTTGTGATGGCCGCACAGAGCTCACTGCGGGCTCCAGGGTACAGTGGGAGGTAGTAACTCATCGGTCAGTGCCTGTTATTCATTGTGAAGCTTGTGGAAAATCCCACAAAGCTTAATCTCTGTTTTCCTTTCCAGCCTTTGCCGCTATTCAGAAATCTTTTTCAGTTCTGACTCCTAAACTAAGATGGAGCATACTTTCTTCAGAACAAGCTCAGTTGTAGGATTTCAAATTAGACCTAGGAGAAAAATCTATTTTCCTGAGAATTTATGTAGAATGGAATTCCTCTTAAAAATTTAAGCTTTTTCAGAACTCTGTATTTCTGTAACTTCTTGATCCTTTGATACTGGACTCATAGATAGAGGCGATTAGAAGAACATTATAGCCATATATAAGTACTTCCTTTGTTTACAAAAACTCAGCCTTGTAAGTAGCTGTTGATTTGTTCAGTAAATGTTTATTGGCATCATCCATGTGCCAGATATTGTTCTGGCCACTCATGTGTTCTCCATGTTACTTGTAAGGAAGATTCGCTTGACTTCTCATTACACCTTAGAGCTAGTTGAGTTCCATTAGGATGCCTCCCCCCGGGATGCAGTGAATGGGGGAAAGCTTCCTGATCTGTGCTTTGGGGAGCCCTGCGCTCCTCTTGCTGGGAAAGTGTCTTGGGGAAGTAATCATGGAGGGTGGTTTCTAGCAATTTGTGCTAAAATAAGCCCAGAGCTAATATACTTTATTAGTGTCTGCCTCACCTCCCACTTAACTCTCTCTCCCAACTGGGGGACTATCATCACTACCCGGGCAAGATACCACCCACTTCAACCTCTTCTGCTACACAGATACCCCTCAGGTTTTATGTTACCTGTGACTGTTGTTCCCTTTTGAAGCTGCTTTTAATTTTTCTATTGTCCTGATTTCGCCTGTATTGGAATGTTTTAGGTTGGAATATATCTACATGGGGAATAGATGTATAGGAAGGCTTAGGGAGGAAATGTGTGTACATTTGGGAGACGGTATTCACCAGAAAGTAATCTGATGGTACCCTCTTAGATGGTCACTCCATAGTTCTCTTAAGGAGGAGGATATATCAAACCCTCTCTTGGGAAAGACTGGACTATTTGGAACAAACAAAAACATGTATAGGCTGTTGGGTAAATATGTTCTATTTCCACAGATATGCTAACACCGCCTTCTCTTGCATTTTGATTTTTAGAAGCTGAAACACACTGAGAGTGACAAGCTGCAGGTACAGATTCAGGCTTACCTGGACAATGTGTTTGATGTCGGAGCTCTCCTGGAAGATGCTGAAACCAAGAACGCAGCCTTGGAGAGGGTGGAAGAACTGGAAGAAAACATCTCTCATGTAACTACATCTCAGAAGAGGGAAAATTGCTTATGTTTCAACTGGGTGCAGAGCAGAATAAATGTTAGCTTTTATGGCAGTGAATGAAAGGATTTGGAGTATGGGAATGAGCTTCAGCTTGAGATAGAGAGCTATCTGAAGCTATTCTGGGGTCTTTCAGAGAAGGCAGGTGTGTTAATGCTGAGTGGAATCCATTGCCTTGCCTTAGCTCACCTGCTCAGTTTCTGCTGAGTCCAGGTTGCTGGCCATCTTAGTTATAGGCACAGGAGAGTTAGATGATTGGCGTTACGTAGAGGGAAATACAACTGAAATATGTGAGTGTGGCCCCAGGTGAAGAAGTATCTTCTTCTGAATATGTCATCTTCTACCAAATGTGTCCACACAGGCCAGTGGGCAGGACGATCTAGTGTCTTCATGATGCATGTCTGCACATTCCTGCCTTAGGGTTACTCAACTTCTAAATAGAGTCGTTTCAACAGTAGGCATTTTCAAGGATGTCAGCAAGCATTCCTGTATGTCCTCTTCTTTGAAGAAGAGTGTCCTCGCAGTATAATGTCAACTCTGGATCGCGGCAGGGACTCATTTTTCTTTGAGGGATTTTTCTTGCCACAGACCAAGTTGAATATGAGTCTAAAGGCCTTCAGGGGTTGTTCATTTGTTCATCCATTAAACAAATATTTAAGTACTGCAAGAATGAACAGAAAAATGGTGCTTTTTAAAAACCCAAGCATGGTGAGGGCCAGATTCTTTTGATGAACTCTGATTGACAGTGTCCTTGATTGTGAAATGAATTGTCTTTTTTTGGAGGGATAGTATTTCCCCCTTTGAACAGTCCATTCATTTTCCTCTGCATTTTCTTAGTTAAGGGTATTGCATGTGCTTAACGGTCTTGCATCTTTTCCCATCGCTCTGAAGATGGGCGTCTTCACGGCTTGTGGGTAAGCCGCGGTGGTGAGCCAAAAGCTCTCCCTTTGTAAGTGCTACAGTGACCTGGTTGGCACCTGCCGAGGAAGAGCATTTACGGGCCTGATGTTTCTTCCCTTGACAGATGTGTATTATATTCTGAACCTGATCAGCATTAATCTCCACTCTTACCCCTCACCTTGCCTCCCTGATTTTCTTTACTTGTGATCATTTTCAGTGAGATGTGAGAACTTAGAAGTTGCTCGATTTTAGAGCCTTATGGGAAGAATAACTGATAACATGCTTACTCTTTCTTTTGAAGCCTCAGCTGGCATTGCACAGCCATACTTCTGTCACTTACTGTTGTAGTAGTTCACCTGCTTATTTGAACTGCTCCTCCAAAATGACTTTTATTGTTTGGGTAGTTTGGGTGAAAACAAGCAGTAGTATTTTTTCAACTGGTTACCTGTAATAACTGAACCAGGTTTTCTGGGTCAACAATTGTCAAAAACTTTTGCCTAATAGCACCTTCTTAGGGAGAGAGAGGTGGCCCTCCCCTCCTCTCTAACTACCATTCTCTACCCTTGCTAGGCCCTGCAGAAATGGAGAGAGAAACACTGTGTTGAAACACTAAGGGAGTGACGTATGGGTTTTATTAAGGCTCACGTATAAATTTATTCCTGTTGGAAATGAATATGTATTCAGAACCATATTATAAATATTAACATTTCCAGAAAACAACTTGTGGGACACATGCAGGTTTCTGACTGGCCCCTAATGGTCTTTGAGCTACACTTTCTGAGAACCAAGGACCTGATCAGAATGATCCTGTGTTGTGACACAGCTTCCCTTTCAAAACTTTACAGTTGTCTGAAAAACTGCAAGACACAGAGAATGAAGCCATGTCCAAGATCGTGGAACTGGAAAAGCAGCTCATGCAGAGGAACAAGGAGCTGGATGTTGTTCGAGTAAGTGTGATGATGACAACCGCCCCAGATGGGCATTGCAGAGAATATGCTCCAGCTGTAGTCTAGTAGAACACGGAATACATTCATGTCAGAGGAATGCATTGATGCAGCATATTTATTGGAACCATTTCAGAGGTGATACTCAAATGAAAAGTACACATAGTTAGGGTCTGTACACACATGTGTGTGCAATCAGATGCTGGGGGTTCAGGACTGCCTTATCTATCACAGGTTTTGGGAGCAACAGTATTCTCCCATCTGGACAAGTCTGAGTTTGATTTCGTAGATCACCCATTTGGTTGGAAATAAAAACACAGCATGGATTTAATTCATGCCACTTATTTATTTTTATTAGGATTTGGACTTCTTTGTACTTCTTTGCTTTGCTTCTACTTGAAACCAGATTTGGTGGTTGCCATGGAAACAGTGAAATCACAACACAGGCGAGACCTAACGGCGTTCACCAAAAAGACAAAAGGCAAAGCACAACCTAACTGTTTTATTATCAGATAATCCCAGCTATTTTATTTGGCCTCAGCATTATTTTACCTTCCGTGTCAGATACTTATGGAGTGCCATCCGTGTACTTGGAATGGTCCAGAACATAAAAACACCAAAATGCCTGGAGGGCTTTCAGGCAAATGGCTTGCCTTTACACCACTGTTAATGAAATGGCACATTTTATGTGAAGGTTATCATGTCTGTGTGTGTTGCTTGATATTCTGACATGTCCTACAGTTAACTCTAGGAAATTTATTTTCTGGCACACCATCGAGACAAAGTTGTAGCATATGGACTCATTCAAGTTCATACTCTCAGATTATTAGTAATAGACAGGGTGTGAAGAATGTTTCCCTGCCTGCTAGAGGTTTGTGGGGAGAGATCACGTGTACAAGACCCAACAAGTAAGTTTCATAAAATCCTTTCACTGGAACTTCTGGGGGCCCTTCTGAAAGGAACTGGGACAGCCTTTCAATTGTAACTTCTTTGTTTTCTGCTAAAGACCTAGACAGAAATAAGTAATTAGTGGAGGGGAGCATTGGCTTATTTTGTTTAACTGCATTACCAAAGGGAAAATGTCACAACCATTGCTGTCCTGAGCTTGGTCAGGGGAGCATTGTGAAGGCCAGAGAAATCCATTCAAAAACAGTCAGTCCCTTGTTAGTCATGAGGAGATTATTCCATGCTTTGCAGATTTTTTTTGTTGTTGGTGAGGAAGATTAGCCCTGAGCTAAGATCCACTGCCAATCCTCCTCTTTTTGCTGAGGAAGATTGGCCCTGAGCTAACATCCATGCCCATCTTCCTCCACTTTATACGTGGGACACCTGCGACAGCACGGCTTGATAAGCGGTGTGTAGGTCCACACCTGGGATCTGAACCAGCAAACCCTGGGCTGCCAAAGCAGAGCACGTGAATTTAACCATTATACCACTGGGTCGCCCCCATGCTTTGCAGATTTTTAATCCCAGTCTGACTTCTATCCAAGTCTGATTTAGGGTCCTTTCCTGATATGTGTCTAGGAGTTACAAATGAATTTTAAAATAATTGAAAGGAAAACATGCACCACCAGAACATGCTCAGGATATTCCAAAGTCAGCTATCAAATTATTCTTGGGTTATCTCTGCCCTATTCCTCTCCACCCACAAGGAAAATTGAGTTAGCTGCATTTACTGATGGAAAGCCACATTAGTAATAACAATTGTTAGAATATATAGCACACATTACGAGTGAACAGTTGAATATCAATGGGACTTGTTGGCTGAGTCTGTAGAACTCCTATATATATATATATATGAGTAACCTTTTCTGTTTTATTTGGTTGTTTTTTTTATCCTCAGTTTGCCGATCTGATGGTAACAGGTACGAATGTCATGTGAAGACAAACTCTTGACCATGGACTCTTTTGCAGGAGATCTACAAAGATGCAAATACCCAGGTTCACACATTAAGGAAGATGGTCAAAGAAAAAGAAGAAGCCATTCAAAGACAGTCTACCCTGGAAAAAAAGATTCATGAACTGGAGAAACAAGGGACCATTAAAATTCAGAAGAAGGGGGATGGGGACATCGCTATACTGCCGGTTGTGGCTTCTGGTACATTGTCCATGGCGTCAGACATGGCAGTGGGACAAATAATGGGGGCCGCCTCCACAGGACCCTTGCCCCCTCCTCCTCCAGCGCTACCTCCGTCGTCAGACACTCCTGAAGCAGGTAAGAAGCCTTGGTGGGAGAACTGAAGTGTACTATTGAGACGTTTGTGTTCTTTTTTTGTCTACTTTTCATTTATGTCATTTTGTTGGCATGTTCTTTTAATTACTGATTTTAAGTACTCTTTACATTTTGAGATTAAGGTTATGAATGTTCATTTCACGTATGTTGCCGTATATTCCCCATTTGTCAATGAGGACATTTTAGCCTTTGAAAAAAATCCTTTGTTTTTTTTCAGTGTTTTGCTTTTGGATACTTTAGGTGCATATGACATATTGCAGGAAAAACCGTTCCCCTATTTCCAAAGTCACTTTGTTTCTTTTCTTTTGCTAGTGCAAAATGGTCCAGCAACCCCACCTATGCCACCACCACCCCCTCCTCCTCCACCGCCCCCTCCTCCCCCACCTCCTCCCCCACCCCCACCTCTCCCTGGTCCTGCAGCTGACACTGTGCCAGCTCCTCCTTTACCACCTCCCCCTCCTCCCTCTGCACCCCCGCTGCCTGGGACATCTTCACCCACAGTGGTTTTCAACTCAGGATTAGCAGGTAAGAGCACAGAATTAAGACCTAGGTACTTGTGTAAGAAATACTCATTTATCTTCCCTCCGGAGGGTCAAAGCCATTCTTTCAAAGTCCAGGTCTTTTGCAGTCACATGCATCTCCTCTTAATATGAGTACATTCCTGCTGATACAGCCAGTAAAGGGGAAATTGTCAACACAGGAGGCATTTTCCTCTAAGCAGTCTTTGTCACTCTCTCCCTAGCAGGAAGTTCTGATCTCACACCATCTTCCCACCTTCGCTTCTCCCCCCTAGAGAAGGGAAGCGAGACAAGTTACCTTCTTAGGGATCAGTGCGTTGCATTGGGTCCAGCAAACACTTCTGGACCTCTGTAGTAGTCAGAGCTCTGACACACAGTGCTGCTGGTGCTTCTGGCTCTTTTTTTGAAGATGTTTGTGCAAGATGCCATCTATAAAAGGGAAAATGCCTTTCTATGTAATTGCCTGCTGTAGGCTTCCAGGCATTTCTTCTGAGCATTTGAGGATATCAGAATTCACTGTAGTGGAATCACGCTTCAAGGGGAATGTTGCCAACAGCAGTGTATGCATGCCTTGAAATGCCTCTACATAAGCATGTTGTCCTCCTGTTAACCAGGATAGAATGCACCATCCTTACCTCACCCAGGAACAAAAAGGGGTGGATGTGGGGCCAGAGGAAGAGAGGTGCTCGAATGCCTTGAAATATAAGTTGTTATTTTCGATTCATGGGAATGAATTTTTACTCTTTTCTAAAATATTGCAAGCCATTTTCCCAGTCACGGCGTGCTCCTCTGGCGTTTGGAATTGCTCTGAGCTTTGCCGTACCATCCCTGTGACATGGATGATTCTGCTTCCTCATCCACTTCAGTCCCTTCACGAGGTCTCTTATTTCCCACGAAGAACTACCCCTCTAATAGTCTCCATTTCCAAGTCTGCGATAGTTCTCAGAGCCTTTTACCCAGAGCCTAAAAGCCAGTCTCAGCTGTCAAAGATTTCCCACTCTCTGTCCCTTGGAGTGTCCCGTCAGCAGCTTTACCCGACAATCATTAAGGCTGGTTCATCCTAATGATGGAAGCCCTTTTGGACCCCCGAAAGCCACCCATAGCAGACTTGGTCCACATCAAGTCCACGGTGAGTGCTTCCACCCCACCTTCTATAAAACTGTGGAAGAGCGGCTGGCCCGGTGGTGCAGCAGTTAAGTTCGCACGTTCCACTTCGGCAGCACGGGGTTTGCCAGTTTGGATCTCGGGTTTGGACATGCCACCACTTGGCATGCCATGCTGTGGTAGGCGTCCCACATATAAAGTAGAGGAAGGTGGGCACGGATGTTAGCTCAGGGCCAGGCTTCCTCAGCAAAAGAGGAGGATTGGCAGCAGATGTTATGCCAGGGCTAATCTTCCACACACACAAAAAAAGACACAAACTGTGGAAGAAACACACAAGATGCCTGTTCAAAGTAATGTTTGCAGTAAACCCGTGACTTATTTCTACCTTTCAAGGTCTCCCCCATCTACTGCTTTTTTCTAGAACTTTTATTGCTTCTGAAGGACAAAAGTTGGAGGAGTATCATTTTGGAACTGTTGGATTTCGCAATGTAAACAAACAAAAAACCTCTTAACAAGCCTCAGGAATCTGTTCTGTCAACAGGCTGTTGTGACTGTGTGTGAACACTTTGAATTGTCGTGTGCACCTGGGCTCACTTGTAGGCTTTCCTTGTAGCCCCCGAAGGGCATGCAGTGAGAGACACTGTGGTGTCTCTCCTTTGGTACTGCCTCCCTTCTCTCTGGCAAAGCCTAACGTGTGATACGGCTTCCATTTCCATTCACCTGAGCTCTGACGGAACTAGGAACTCAGAACTGCCTTGGCAAAAGAGCAAAAGAACCAAGAGGCTGAGATGCGCAGGTCCAAGGCTCCCTTCTGAATGGCTCTTGTCCCCTCTGGTTAATTTTTTTGCCTGGGTTCTTCCTGCTACTTAAAATGTGTTGGCTCTGTTGATTGCCTCAATCTTAGGAAGCGGAACTCTGTGTTCAGCTGCTTGCCCACTGTTACCTTCAGGGTTGTTGCAGTTCAATTGGGAGTTGTCCTCTTTGTGTCTCATACGATTTAGAGGGCGGTATGTGGGATTGAGGAAACTCCTCGTTAGTGCTGTAAGTGTCCATTAAACAATTACAAGATGTTCTGTTTTACAAGATGTAAGGGTTGTAACATACTTATGAGTCTTTGATAGCTTGAGATCAGGCAATTTCTACAAGACCTTTAATCTCTTTTCACTACTTATCCTTAATTTGGCTGTGAATACTTAGTGGTTGTAGCCCATTTTGTGAGATGTTTTGCCAGTGTGTTCAGTAACTGTCTCTCTCTTCTGGACCTGAGGCCAGAGAGAATCCGGATGTTCCAGTAGAGCCAATAAGTAGAGGTGAGATGATAGGCCACAGACTCATGGGCAGCCATAAACCTGTGACATCCCTGGGCCTCTGGATCCACAGGCAATAGGGTGTCTTATGTCTTCACTAGGCAGTGAACAGGTGTGTTTCTGGTGGCCAAGACAGGAGACCAGGAGGTGGTCCCCTAGGTGTATGTAGTTGAGTTTTCTTTCCATTTTTTAGAGAAAATACTAGTAATGTGAAATATGCATTTGCAGTATAGGGCTTACTTCCTCAAATCTGTGATCGAGTTATCTGTCTCCCATTTCCTGGTTAGGTCGTCTGTGACAGACCACTCGCTGGGCAGGCTGTAACCTTTGCTGTCTCTTTGAGAGAATGTGCTTTGGAACTTCACAATGAGAATTTGGACTTTGGCTGATTATTTGTCATTTAGAAATTGTTCATATCTTATGGAATACCTAGTGCAATTCAATATGGCTGTTTGGGACCATTATAACGAAATCATTTTTTTCCCCTCTTCTAAAAAGGAATTTTTTTATAAGCAAAATAATAAGTGAGTCTTCAAGGCAGGCCTGAATGGAAATGAATTTTTGGCTCTGTGCTGCCTTGTGAAATGTGTCCAAGAAGCATGAAATTCTATGCTAAGAGTGCGTGAACTGCTGAGCCGCTTGACTCTAACCATATCTAATATATTTTTTTGTATTTTCTTTGTTCTTTCTGCTTCCACAAAAGATGGGCCAATCAAGCTTTTCTGTAGGTTGCTCCTCACTGAGTGTGTTCAGTATTTGCCATGTTTTCCTGTTGGTCACACTGTGCCTTGACATCTTTCCACTCCATCTCACATTGATCCATTACATCTTGACTTTGTGTCTGCGGGAAGTCTTGGTGTTGGCTGACTGTTACCCCAGGTTTGCCCACACATTTTAGTTGAACCTGTAGAAGAGATTATGGTCCTTTAAGCAGACATCCTGGATTTCATATGCCACATTCCTTTCCCCCTGAGAAAAGGAGTGTTTTTTCTTTTAATTTTTGTAGTTGCATCTAAGGCCTCAAGTGTAGAAGGAATTTAGACTTATTCTGAGAGAAAAAGGAAAGCTCCTCCACAGAATAAGGAAAAGCTGCTGGATGCTGCTCTTTTAGTCCCCTTGGTCTCCAGCTCTCCCTGTGAAACACCCACCTACCCATGCAGAGCCACTTCCTTTAATCTGAACACCGAGAACACGGTGTCTATTGGGGCCACTGATAGGCCCCTCCTGCCCTAACCTACCGCTGCATTCCCCAGTCAGAGTCAGGACAGCCTTTCCAAAGAGAACTTTTTTGCCTGTGTTCTGATTTCAGGCTTATTCCTAATCTTGCTAAAGAGTTAAAAAGTAGGGTGGCTACAAATGGAGTGACTTTTAGTGAATGTCCTGAGGCCTAAAGCATCTGTGGCGGGATGGTGGAACCATATGGCACTGACCTGTCACCTCAGACTATGAAAAGATCCCCTCCCCCGCTCCCCCTTCTTCTCAGTCAACATTGCTGAAGTGCCCGACTAGAGGAAGGTCTGTTCCTTGCTCCCATGGAGGACAGGGTTTTGCTGGGTAGTATAGACCAAAATGAAGTGTGGCGAGGAATGGGGAGTGTGCGTAGTCCTCACTACCCAACAGGAGTGGGTCGTGGGGACTAAAGTGTCACATTTGGTGGTGGAAAGGCCTGGTTTGGCAAAAGCTGTGTTTCTGTGTTCCTGCATGCCTTTGTGTGGATTTATCAGATGACATTCCTGCTGTTTCTATGGCCTTCGTAACTCTGGAGGAATGAGAGGCACCGTCTGTCTCCCCTTTTCAGTTGCCTCCCACTGAGGCAGGCAGCCAGGGGACAGCCTAGTCTTGTGTTGAGTTTGTTTTGTTCTGCACTGAACTTCCCTCCTGTGCTAATGATGGCAAATAGTGAAGCTCCCAAATAGTGTGGTGGGCATCCCAGGACAGACTTAAGAAGGCATATATATATATATATAGATGTATAGATATGTAGCTAAATGGTTTGGGAAGGCTTCTTTATGATGTGTAATTAAGTAATGGAATTTGTAATAGATTACTTATTTTTTTTAGCTCATTTCCCCAAAGTAGTGGAGTTGGTGCTTTCCCCTGACCCCTCAAGCGTAGATCCCTTCCTCTCTACTAAGAGGGTCTCAGTATTTTTAGTGAGTTCATCAATGCCTTCTAGTCACACACAGCTGACTCCTGGGGAGAACTTGCTCTCCAAAAAGAGGAGGAAGGGACTGTGGCTGTTATCAAAAAGCAGTACAAATCTTGGTTTCTAAGTACACTTCTGTCTTCTTAAACATTTTCTATTTTGGGCTGTTCATAGCCCTTAGTCTGTTTGAAATAACTCAGCAGCCGATACGATCCCCATCATTGAAATCCTCCACGGGAATGTATTGCTCTGGCTGGAAGTCAGCCCTTTTGATGTTACATTCCTGGTGGTTTAGACAGCCACTATCTGCAGTCTCTGATCATCTTTTAAGATTTGTTTGGAAATATGTGTTCTAGAACCAAGAATTTAGGATGTCACAATTCAACTCATGCTCACAGATGTCAAACTAAGTCACGGAGTATTTGCCCTCTCTGCTATCTAATAAATATGAATAATAATTTTTGCTCCCCAACTCTTTATTTGTTCTACGTATTGTCCTAACATTGTGACTATAATGCAGCAATCTAGTTGCCTACATTGAAAAAAAAGCACCTCTGGCTCTTGGAGGACTTTGACACACTGTTGTATCCTTCGACCAAATGATGACCTCAGATTGCTCTGGCCAAAGCCGTGTGTGATGTCTTTCATATTTAAAAACACCTGGGCACCTCCTGCCAGCCTTCCTCCAGTGTTAAAGTGTCATCTGCAGGGACTGTTGTCTGATTGTTCTTGGGGTCTTGGTGGAATCTTAATTTCATTCTCTCTGACCTCTGTAGCTGTGAAAATTAAGAAGCCAATCAAGACGAAATTCCGAATGCCAGTTTTTAACTGGGTCGCCCTGAAGCCAAATCAGATCAATGGCACAGTCTTCAACGAAATTGACGACGAGCGAATTCTGGAGGTATCTTTCTTGTTGGGTAGAAAATGGGGGGCCCTCTCTGTGCAGCAAAGCTAAAATGGGTGCTCTGGAAGTCTGGAAGTTAACCTGGAGGTTTCAGCGGTGAAGTGCCACTGTCTTAGGTGCCTTGATGTAAAGAAGAAAAGGATTTACAATATCAGACAATAAAGTTATGTGCTGTGGGGCTGGCCCAGTAGCGCAGTGGTTAAGTGCGCACGTTCTGCTTCTGCAGCCCCAGTGTTCGCCGGTTTGGATCCCAGGTGCGAACATGGCACAGCTTGGCAAGCCATGCTGTGTCAGGCGTCCCACATATAAAGTAGAGGAAGATGGGCACTGATGTTAGCTCATGGCCAGTCTTCCTCAGCAAAAAGAGGAGGATTGGCAGCAGATGTAAGCTCAGGGCTAATATTCCTCAAAAGAAAAAAAAAATTACATGTTGTTTTGTAAGGTGGTTCTAAAACTGTGTTTAAAAAGTTATGTTAAAATGAATAGTTTTGAGCCTCTTCAGTGTATGCCATAAAATATATATCTGACACAGTCTCTGCCCTTAATTTGTAAAAAGGCATAAAAATGGTTTATTGAACTATAAGCGAATAAGGACCCAATAATCACACTCAGTAGCTGGTTTGATGGATAGTCTGTGGTGGCCATCCCTGCAAGGTAATTATTGAAAGGTGTTTGAATTGGCTGGTTGGAATCAGTTGTCTGTTCAGGTCCGTATATGTGGCGTAAGTCACACTCTAACGCAAATAGGAAAATAGAGCAAGCCACGATCACAGACAAGTATTGAGTAGAAAAACTGAGTTCTTTGACACTTAAGAAACTGTCTAAATGGTGGCTTCCTGACTTAATTTTTAAGTATAACCCAAGTTGCCTGTTTCATCTTTCTACCCCAGGATTTAAATGTGGATGAATTTGAGGAAATATTTAAGACAAAAGCCCAAGGTCCTGCCATTGATCTTTCTTCAAGCAAACAGAAAATAACACAGAAGGGATCAAACAAAGTGACGCTACTGGAAGCAAATAGGGCCAAAAATCTCGCCATCACTTTAAGGAAAGCTGGAAAGACCGCTGATGAGATATGTAAAGCTATTCACGTGTAAGTTCAGAGCATTCTGGAAAATTGTATCCTAGTAAATTTAGGATAAAGATGAAAAAAAGTTGTGAACTGATAAATATTTCCATAGTTGGGTAAGATTAAGAAAAAGCGATTCTTGGTATGCACACACCAGGTTGTTACATATGTGACTTCAGAGTTGAATACAATGCTAACCCTGAAGAAGGGAACCAGAAATTACCCTCAGGAGTGCTGTGTTAGAGTAAGTAATTAATTGGTTTAGGAGAATCACACTGGATTGTGACATCATTTATTATATTGGTCTGCTCTCTTACATGGGCCTACAGCAGTGCTTACCTAAAAGGAAATTTGAGAGGAGGGTTGCAGATGCTAAGAAAGGGGAGAAAATGTCAGTTTTCTCTGGAATATGTGAATTTTATCCAGATTTGTTGAATCCAAATTTGATGGAATTCATGGAATGATACACTTCAGTGCCAGATGCCAATATGATACAGATGCGTATTTTAATTCATAACAATAGAAATGTGATTTCTGTTGTTCTTAGCACTTTTAGGACATCTTAAACAAAGTTCAGTTCTTTTTTTTAATCCTGGAACTGCAGAGAAGGCATTGATTTTGTTTACTTTTCTATTAGAAAAATCTTTCTGTTGTTCTTGTGGTCATGGTAACTTTTAAATGTGATAAGGATGTTAGACGTTTCAGGAACTAATTCATCATAAATTGGTATTTCATAAATTTTGCTCAGAGACTCTTAGAGAAGTAAATGGCACTGAGAAATCGTTTGTTCCAATTTCATGTCTTTAGCTGGGATCGTAATCTAATAGTCGAGTGCCTCCTATAGTCTATTCTGATTTCTGATGTTGAAACCTTATATGCATTCTGGTTTTCAATCTTGAAATACCTTGTTTGTCATGATGATTAAATGTAATTCTATTATTTTGCTAAACAAAGATTGTCCAGAGAATAAAACGGAGGTTGTAGAAGATACTCTGTTCAAATTGAGCATTCATCCACAAGGACCCTGGTATTCCTTCAAGGGATGTATGCGTTTAAGTCAAAACATCCGTAGGGTACAGGCATTTGGATGCATTTTCTTCTAAAGAAGGAAAAATAGCCCAAACTGTTGGTTTAATTGAAATATTCTACAGAGTTCACCAGATATTCTGTAATCATGTATATATAATATTAATTGCTTAATTAGCCGTACTCACATGTCTGCAAAGTCGTGTTCTTGAGTCACTTAACTATCAGATACTTCAGCCTGCCTTTTGTCTCTTCCTGCTGCCATTTACTGCTTATTTCTAGAGGCTTAGAGCTATACTAATAGCCTAAAAACTGAACATGGTGATTGCGGTAAGGTCCAGGTTTTTAAGAAGGACCAGTGAAGGTACTTGATGCACAGTCAGGAGTCGGCACCAACAGGTGTCTTCGTAGTTCAGCTGTAGAGCTTGGTAACTCATGGGCTTGTTGGTGCGTGAGCTGGACCAGATGGAGGTGCGGTTGAAAGGCTAGGAGGTTTTCTCTCTAATACTGACCTGTCCACATCTGTCTTCAGATTTGACTTGAAGACACTGCCTGTAGATTTTGTAGAATGTTTGATGAGGTTCTTGCCAACTGAGAATGAAGTGAAAGTGCTTCGGCTCTATGAGCGGGAAAGGAAGCCCCTGGAGAACTTGTCAGACGAAGACCGGTTCATGATGCAGTTCAGTAAGATCGAGAGGCTCATGCAGAAGATGACCATCATGGCCTTCATTGGGAACTTTGCTGAAAGCCTTCAGATGCTGACTCCTGTGAGTGGACCAGCGCTGATGGCGCACAGCTCGGGGGCAGGGTGGAGTGGTCCAAAGAGAGAGAGGATCTTTTTTTTCTTCTTCTAAGTCTCTCCTAGAATTATACTTAGTGTCATGGGCTCTGAGGACTTCTTCCCAGAACTTTCTAGATTGCATTTTTATTTTGGCCATCTTTTTCACATTGTGTATGCCAAGTAAATTCGAAAATGACAAAATTCCATATTCCATATTGATATTCTCCCTAGAGAGTGCCATTTTCTTTGTTTAAAGATGTCATCTGAATTTCAAAGGACACTTCAATACAGAGTACAAGGAAAACCATTTTCTCAAACTTGGTCCTCTCTGAAACCAATCCTCTGGCTGGGTTGGCCACACTGAAAATGTGCCTTTCATTTCTAAAAACAATCCCATATCTTTAGTAAACAGGCTTATTGGCTTTCATTGGAACCATTAAATTTACTACAGGAGTCTTCTTCCTTGGAAGTTTGTTACAGTGCACTGTGGTGATGTAGAAATTATTGCCAGCTATTTCCTCTGTGTTAATCTAGTTCCTTTGTGTTGACTTGGTAGAGACTTAGGAATATCATAAACATAAATGTCATAGTTCTTTCCCAGTTCTATTTATAAATAAACTTCCACTAATCACTGATTATAGTGGCACGTCTGCCCAAAACATGTTCTGAGAACTTCTGGAGGGTGATTACATTCCTTTGCTGTTTTGTTGTGTTTTCATTCTTGGACAACTCCATTGATTTTAAAATATAAATGGTATTACTTGATTAGAGGTGGCGGGCAGGGAATTGGGTTCTGCTAGAAGATGCTGTTGACTCCTAACCGCAAGTCTCATTAGTTACAGATTTTGTAGTAAGCAAGTTCTGACATTGCTTCTTATTTCAAATACTTTTAGAGAGGAGCTTCCGTGTAATAATATGGTTACTGAACACCTAGTGGCCAACTTAAATTTATGTTTAGGAAAAATAGAATCTCAGCATTAAGGCTTTAAGGTCTCAATGTAGGCCTGCTTTCTTCTGTGTTAATTTTTAGTTTCCGATTAGAGTTTCCCATTTTTAACATGTCTTTTTTTCCCCTCCCTTCCTTCCTTTGGCTGGAATCTAGCAACTGCACTCAATTATAGCAGCATCTGTTTCTATAAAGTCATCGCAGAAACTCAAGAAAATTCTGGAGGCAAGTGAAGTTTTCCTCGTATACACGTATGGAAGAGCTGACTTGTCAGCCGCATTCCTCTGCCTTGGATGCTGGGGCTTCTGTACTAATGGGCTTCTCCTTTCTTTTTTTGCAGATCATTTTGGCCCTTGGAAACTATATGAATAGCAGTAAACGAGGAGCCGTTTATGGATTTAAACTTCAGAGTTTAGATCTGGTAGGTGGCCTAACAGAAGTACAAGAGCTCTATGCGGGACAAAGCAGCTGGCAAAGATTAAGTCCTGGGGCGGAGAGAGTCTGTTCTTAGAAGTGGGGATGGCATGTTTTATGAAGATTCTCTGCTAGTGGGAGGATCAGTTGGTACAAATTTTCTGGAACCCCATCTGGCAGCAAGCACTTAGAACCTTAAAAATACTCATGCACTTTGACCCAGTGTTTCCATTTCTAGGAATCTTTCCTCAGGAGTCTGAATTATAGATGCTGTATTTCATTTATAATGCCAAATAATTAGCAACAGTATAAAGATCCAACATTTGGGGAAATGATTAAATATTCTATAACAGTAGTTAATATGGTGAACTGTTCTTCAACTGTTAAATATTCATGAGGAGTTTTCAAAGAAATAGAGAATTTTGTGTTTAGAAAAGAAAGCAGGGTATCAATTGCATGTACAGTTTGATTTCAGCTAAGTAAAATATATAGAAAAAAACTGAATGGACGTAGGTTAAGATATTACCAGAGAGGTTCGATGGAATTAGGGAATTTTTTTGAACTGCTTCTTTATACTTTTCTGTATTTTCTAAAATTTTTTTTTTTTCCTGGATGGCAAGGGGTGCTCTGCTTGACAGAGTCACCTGACTTATATGACCAGGATTAGAGAAAATCCGCCACGGAACCCTCTCTCCCCGGCTGTGTGGGGCTGACGTGGCTTCCCCGTGAGAAGGTTGGGCAGTGGGTTGAGCCCCCAGCCTGGGGAGACATGTCCACTTAGTCACAGTTTGGGCCCCCAGAAGGTCATGGTCCGTTAAACACACCTGCTTCGGTCATCAGAGGCTGGGGAATGAGAGAGGAGCGAGCTGAATGTGAGGACTGCAGCAGAGAAGCCCCATACCTGGCAGCTCCACACTCACTCCTACTCTGCTCCTCCCCTTTCGAGAGCACTGAAACTGGAGTCTTTCTGCTTTTAAGCCGGGGGCGGGGGTGGGGGGGCAGAATAGCAGATGTGGGGAGGGGCAGTTCACGTGAGTACAGATGTGTCAACAGTTCTGGGTGCTTAGAGTCTGCCCTAAAGTGCAGCACATCTCCTGGTCAGGAAGTCCTCTCATCATTTAGAAATCAGCGGGCTGGTTCACTGAAGAACAAATCCAGTCTTGAATCTCCAGTGGGAATGTTCTTTGTCCGCTTTGAGGCACCTGTATTCACTTATTCATTGTGAGTGGGAGAGCGTCATTGGGTGGGTAACTCCTATCATCTCTCCCTCTAAGCCACATCCCCCTTTTTTTTTCAGCTCTTAGACACAAAGTCAACAGACCGAAAGCAGACGCTGTTGCACTATATATCGAATGTCGTCAAGGAGAAATATCACCAAGTGTCCCTCTTCTATAATGAGCTTCATTATGTGGAGAAGGCTGCTGCAGGTGCTTGATTTCAGCTACTAATGTGACTCTTGGGTATTGAAAGCGTTAAATCGTGAGGGAACCGTTCTCTGCTTAAACACACACTCTTCAGAACCCCTTTAAAAAAGTCAGGAGCTCTGAGCTGGAACACGTCGGCCAGGTGTCGCCCCCTTCTGGGAGCGATATTGAACATGGACATGAAGGAGACCTCTCAGTGCCCTCTCTGCGAAGATCCAGGTCTCTCATGCACCGTCCCTCTTCCATTCATTGCCCTTTTTACTCTATTGCTGTCGTTTGAGATAGGAGGATCACCAGCCAACATACACTTCAGTTTGATTTTGTGCGGCTCTACTTGCTCAGAGGTGGCAGTTCTAAATATTTTGCCTTTCATCTAAGCACAAGTTAAATGATCAGTATGTCTCGGTTGTTACTTTGCTGTGATGGTTGCGCACTTTCTCATTTAAATCATCAGTGATTCCGAAATAGCTGGGCTGTACTAGGTAATAAATATCCTCATGTTTTAGATGAGAAAACTGACATTTTTAGAGGTTAAATGTCTTTCCCAAGGTCACATGGGTAGAAAGTGATCAAAACTTGGCTAGAACCTGGGTCATCTTTTCATTTAGTGTACTGTCTAACGTACCATGTCCTCTCAAAGGAATAGTAGGCTAGGGGGCCAGCCTTTTGGCTGAGTGGTTAAGTTCGCATGCTCTGCTTCAGTGGCCCAGGGTTTCGCCAGTTCGGATCCCGAGTGCGGACATGGCACCGCTCATCAAGCCATGCAGAGGCGGCATCCACATAGCACAACCAGAAGGACCTACATCTAGAATATACAACTGTGTGTTGGGGGGCTTTGGAGAGAAGAAGAGGAAGAAAAAGAAGAGTGGCAAAAGATGTTAGCTCAGGTGCCAATCTTTAAGAAAAAAAAAAAGAATAGTAGGCTAGAAAAAGGAACAAGAGGCAGATTGACCTCAGAGTTGGTTACAGGCCATAATTCTCAAATTGTGATCTTGAACCAGGAGCAGCCAAGGTGTTTATTATAAATTCAGATTTCTGAGGCCTACCCCAGACTTAGCAAATTGAAGCTTTGGTGACAAGACCTTCTCTGACTCCCTCAGAGCACACGGCTGTTCCTCCTGTCTTACCAAAGAGCACGCTGTACTACCCTCTCATACAAGATTTATCAAATTTTATTCTAACCATTTCCATGTCCATTGCAACCTGTGCACTTAAGAGTATAATCAGGTTTCATTTATCTTTATAATTCCCTTAGCCCCCAGAAAATTGATGGTGGAAATAATGAATGAGCGAATGAACAAATGAATGAGTGAATGAACAAATGAATGAGATGATGCTTCTGAAGCCCTAGTGGAGACTGAGAGGCAGGTGGAAATGATAGCTTGTGGAGGACTGTGCGGTGTGGGCTGTGACAGACCCACTGAGGGCTCAGGGCTCTCTCAGGCAGTTACTAGGACTTCTACTCTGGCGGAGTGATTTTCCTCCTTTCATTTCCATTTGCCTAAATTAGGAGTTGTTTATTATCACAATTCTCGTTAAGAGAAAAAGTTAAAAAAAATTCGTATCTTACTAATTAGCACATTTTGAGTGGCCCAAATGAGATTGCCCAAAAGTGCCATTTGAAGACAATCGTTGGGAGAAGATGGGAAGATTGAGGTCCTCTCTGGCTGAATAATTTTCTGTATTGCTCTCTGGTGCCCAGGTGAGCTGACGCGGATTCTTTATACCTTCACTCATTTATTCACTCGTCTTTCGTTTATACAGCGAACCTTTCCGAGTCGCTGCTATGTACTTGGCACTTTCCTAAGCATTGAAGAGTCAAAGGTGAAGAAGACAGTGTGAATCTAGTGAGGGGAGAACATACTGCATTGTTCTGTAATTCATCCACGTGCAGAGCTGGGGGACGTCGTAGGGAGCCAGAGGTGGGGCGCAGACCTCTGGCAGGAGGCTGCAGGAGTGTTCCTGCTCTGGGAGGGTGGCCACACTGCAGGTGGACAGCTCCCTGCAAATAAATGCTTTTGACGCAGGAAAGGGTTGTTTATCAAAAAGAAGCTGTCCAAGGTTGCTTTGGGTCCTAGCGGGCAGTACAACGAAAGTTCCACAGGTAAAATGCTACCCCCTGCTGGACAGCCACAGAAATGCAAAAGAGTTAAAAGCGTTAGGTAGAGGATAAGGTCTTCGGTCTGTCACAGTTAAGGAACCTCTGAGCCTACAGGTCAGCCAACAAGTTATCATCTTCTGTACAAGAAATGGAATAGTTGGGTCCAAGCACAAAATTTGGAGTCCGCGGTTGTTATCTGAACTCCAACCCTGCCACCTCCTGTGTGACCTGGGACAGGCCATGTAACCTCATTATGCTGCTTTTTCCTTGTTAGCAAAATGGGCTAAACATGCAAATGAATCGGTGCATATAAAGAATTTAGTGCTGTGCCTGGTAGTGAGTACTTAGTGACTTGTTCATATTAAAGGATCTCAGTTCTGAAAGCTGGAAACTAGATCTAAGCCCCTTGAGTATCCCTGGGAATCCACCAAGAACTTGGCTGACCAGCCAGACTCAGGGTGGTTTGGACCTTCACGGGGACATTGCTTTCTTTACTGCAGTTTCCCTTGAGAATGTTTTACTGGACGTCAAGGAGCTCCAGAGGGGCATGGACTTGACCAAGAGGGAGTACACCATGCATGACCACAACACGCTGCTGAAGGAGTTCATCTTCAACAATGAGGGGAAGCTGAAGAAGCTGCAGGATGATGCCAAGATTGCACAGGTAACTGTCTGTACAGCCCCTTGACACCCACAAAGAAGTGATACCACCCACAGAGAAGTGGTATCCATCTGGGATACCAGGCCTGGCTTTGGGGGAAAATTGCCCTTTGTCTGCTGAGGGTAGGTTTCTTATGTAGCTAATGATTATCATGGAGGGGATCTTCCAAAATATTGCGCCTGGAAGTGCCCCTGTCTTGCTCATTGTCCTCTTCTAATTTGGGGTCTTGACTCTCTTCTCTGGAGGCCATTCCTGCCCCTGCCCCTCACCTTCTCCTCCTAGGCTTCTTCTGTGTGAGTCCTGTATTCAGTTCAGCCAACATGCATCAGGCTTGTGCTCAGCAAAGCAGTGTTCCCACTGTTGGTTTCTGTAGGCCTTGGCCTCGAAATCTTATGCTACACTGGCGGGTCAAATTTATGCACTTGGAAAACAGCCAGACTGCACACCACCATAGAAGGAAAGACAGAGTGTTGTGGGAACTCAGAAAGCAGACGTGGTGGAATGGCTCCCATTTGAGGCTGGCTATCTTGTGTCATGGAAGAGTTCAAGCAGAGACTTTAGTGTCCCTAATGTGGGGATGCTTTAAGGAGTGGTTGGGATTTGAAGTCTGAGTGCCTTCTATGGTCCCTTCTAACCTTGTGGGTTTTAAGGCGTTCTGCCATGGCCTCAGGAAGCTCTTGAAGGGAGTGGTTCCTCGTGTGTGTGTGTGTGTGTGTGTGTGAAGGTGTATAGAAGTGGCAGGAGGTCCCAGTGATGAACTCCCGTGCAGCACCGTTGCATTCTTCTGGTTGCCCTTCACCGGGCATTCCAGGGGCACACGGAGGCTGCGGAGAATCCTGGGGAGCGAGGGAGGGAAGAGACCAGGGAGCTGTGGGAGCCGCTGGGTCGTCCCTGCTGCTCTGCTGCGGCTCTTCCCCCAGAGTGTCAAGTTCAAATGCTGTGACTGACGAGATTCAAGAGAAATTTGCTTCTTCACAGGACGCCTTTGATGATGTAGTGAAGTATTTTGGAGAAAACCCCAAGACAACGCCACCCTCTGTCTTCTTTCCCGTCTTTGTCCGGTTCGTGAAAGCCTATAAGGTAAATGGGAGCATGGCGTCCTTTAATGCCTTCTGTGGCATTATTCGTCAAGCAGGTTTCCTCCTAGAGCTGTGTCTGCGTCTCTGCTGCTCTGCAGAGGCCTCACCTGTTCCTCTGGGCAGCAGATCTGGGTGGACAGTATGAGACAGCAGTCTCTGGCCCTCTGGAGGCTGAGAGCTCCTGGGACCCTCAGCCCGTCATGCTCCCTGTCTCTGCCCAGCCAGTCCTGGGGTTCAGCCCCAAAACAAAAGCTCTTGCCTGCTCCTCAGGGCAAGTGAGATGCTCCAAGACCATTGTTGTCCTGTTGACTCTTCACCTCGCAGGCAGGGTGAAGGACTTAGAAAATCCAGGCTCCCATAGAGTTGAGAAGGTAAAAAGAGTGAGCCCTGGCCTGTGGCAAAGATGCTGTCACTGAGCTCCGGGAGAGTCTGGTTGTGTTAGTCTTGCCCAGGCCTTCGGGCTGTCTAGACCAACATTGCTCTAGTGTGGACTGAAAGATGGCACTAGGAAGGATGGTTACTGTTTTTTTTGTTGTTGTTGTTATCTGGACCAATAATGGCTCCTCCTTTAAATGGGAAGCCCTCTGACATAATCCGGGGCCATGGTCTTGAAAGAGCACATGACCCAAAGAGGCATGTGTCAGAGGAATTTGTCCTTCGAGAAAGAATGACAAAGAGGACATTAGGGTTTAGCCTACTGAAGAGACATTGCAATCTATGTTGTCTGTATATAACAATGGTAATGTTGGTGGAGGAAGGAGGAGTGTGATTGTAGAGGGGAGGGGTATGTGGCAGGGTTATCTACATTTTTCAGAAACAGGAATTGGAAATAATGGGTTACTTCTCCAGTGCCATTTAATGGCTTTGGAGAACCATCCTCCGGCCTTTTACTGAAACTCAAAAGGTTTCATCTTCTCTCAGCATGGCTTAGGGTAGCAATCATATCACAGGCTGTTTGCAGAAGGAAGGTGTCGTTGGCAGTGAGGATGAACACAAACACGGCAGACGTCCATGTGCAGGATGCTGGGAGCTCTGGGCCACGAGAAGGTCACGGCCACCAGCTGCTGCTGACTGTGGTGCTCTGGGCTCCACTGGCTAGCAATGCTTGTGTGCTGCAGAGAAGGCTCAAGGTGGCTTTTGTTATATGCTGTGACCACATTTCTTCACAAATTATGTCTAAGGTCTAAAGAGAAAATACGTGCTATTTTTAAATTATATACTACAAGCTGGGAAGTGGCTCTGGTTGGTCTCAAAGCCCAGCACTGCAGCAGGGATGTGCATCAAGCAGAGAAAAAAGAGAAGCTGCCCTTGGTGGTCAGTGGGGTGTCACAGGTCATAACCTGTCTAGCAGCGTGCCCCTTCCGTGTTACCATTTCTCCCTGTGGTCCTGTTCGGTACCTCCATGAGGCGCTTGTCTGGCAGTGATGCTATGGGATGCTTTACTTGCCCTAGATATTACATGTTGAATAACCTCCCAGTCTGACGCTGATACTGACCTGGATGTTGGGATTTTAGGATGTCATCCCTCCTTTCTCTTCCTGAGTTCGAACCAAATGAAACTTGAAAGCAACAGAGATCAAAATAGAACTTTATTACTGATGAAAGCTGGACTGGAGGACAGGGTGTGTATCTGTGAGCTTACACTCCAGCCTCTTATCCGTCAGTTCTCAGCTACACTATTAGAAGTCTCTCTAGGGAGGCTGGGCTTTGAAAGAGAGAATGCCCAAGAGGGCTGAGCTGAGGTGAGCCTGTTTGATTTCTTCTTCCCATTCATCAGACTAGTCCCCCTGCCTCCCTTGGGAAGGAGTGAGCTATGGCGAGAGGGCCCAAGAGTGTCACTCGGCTGAGGCCCCTGAAGGGACCAAGAGGCGAGGAAATGGCGGTTTTCCCCTAACAATGGGCAAGAGGAGAGGTACCTGAGATCTTGCTTTCAGAGAAGCTGTAGTAGGTGGACAGAATTTGGAAGTACAGCAAACGCATGTGAAAATCACTGAGCAGAGCTGCCGGGAGGGCAGGTTGTCACCACATCTGTGGGACTGAGACTAAGAAGCAGTGTGAGTGGATCATCAAGAGAGGACTTCTGGAGGTGAATTTCAGCTATGAGGTTTTGAAGAGATGTGATATCGACAGAGCATGAAACCCCAATTCGGAGTTCAATATAGTCCTAAAGTGTAGACTTTCCGAACCTTCCATTGACTCTAATTCCTGGCTCACCAAGGATTCTCTAAGAATGGCTTTTAAATTTTTGTCTCCTGTCATTTCCACTAATCTTTTTGTTCTTTTGATTTTACCCAGCAAGCAGAAGAGGAAAATGAGCTGAGGAAAAAGCAGGAACAAGCACTCATGGAAAAACTCCTGGAGCAAGAAGCTCTGATGGAGCAGCAGGATCCAAAGGTGAGGTGTGCCAGGCTTCTGAGATGGCCCCCACGGAGGGAGGCCCCGATGGCTCCCCAGAGGCAAGCAGAGGAGACAGGCAGGAAGCCAGATTTGGAGAGGATCCTCACCGGTTCCTTGTAGGGCCTGGAAACTTAGCAAATGGACCTTTGTTCCTTCATTACTTTGTTCAGTAGCCACTAGAATGAGGCTAAGAGCCTGTTTGTTTAGCATTTCCAAGTTTATAGAGATGGGGAACTTAAGCACAGATGGTACAGAAAGGTCATACCAGGTAACCTGATGACTGGACAGCTTGGTGTCCAGGGGTGGCTTCATGGGTGCACTGTTGGTGCTGGCCTTGGTAGCTGGCGGGCTTCGTGAGGAGGCATGGGAGCGTGTTTCATGGAGGGAGACATCGTAGGTAAAGACCTTACAGGCTGGCAGGTCAAAGTATTCCTCGTCGTGATCCACTGCCCTGGAGTTTAAGAAGTTGGTGGTTATTACCAGTTGCCTCTTGTTGCATAGGATTGAGCCTTCCCATTGCTGTCAGCTGGAGTTTTGTGTGTGCTTCTGTTAAAGTTTTCTTCCCAGGAGCTTGCTGCGTTTTTCTCTGTTTGAGCAGATTGTTGGGATGGTGCTGTCTGTATTTTTGGCTGAGGCTGCTTATCCGTAACATAGTTCTCAGGCACATGCTGGATTTTCTCAAACTTCAGTCAGTGCTGGTCCCACTCATCTCTGCTATTCTTCTTTCTTCTCAGTCTCCTTCCCACAAATCAAAGAGGCAGCAGCAAGAATTAATTGCGGAATTAAGAAGGCGACAAGTTAAAGATAACAGACATGTGTACGAAGGAAAAGATGGTGCCATTGAAGATATTATCACAGGTAAAAGATACTTCCTCATCGTGGCCCATGGAAATCCCATGCCCTCACCCATACTGGGCCACTTGCAGATTCTGTTGCTGCTTTTGTCCAGGGTTTACAAGTTCTTCAGTTGACTTATTCACATCCAGAATTATGCAGACTCCATGCTAGTTTGAGGATATTTATAGTAGCCTGTCTACTCCCTATCAGAGACCCCAACACTCTCTCTCTGAAAAATCTCCTTCTTGTTTCTCAGTATCATTACAACTCTGTAAATTTCACCAGGGCTCCTTCTCCTAATGGTTTTCCATTGTCTTCGATTGGTTACCGTGCTCCATTTTCTTCCTTGCGACCACTCTTATGCAACTGCCTGGTAAATGCTGTAGACCCCATTCAGGGGTCTGTACTAACTACAGTCAATGCAGGGTTTTCCAGCATGCTCTTTTAAAGAGCATTTCAGTTACTCTGCTCATTCAGAGTAACTGAAGACAATAGGAAATCAGGAGCTGGAGCTTTCATTTGGAGGGCCAGTGGACCTCTGGCCCAGGCTTGGGGAATGGTCGTTCTGTCAGCTAGGAATGGTGCCTAACCCAGCTCGGTTCTTGTCTGATTAAGTTGTAGCTTAATGCTTTCTGCTCGAACCAGTTCTCCAGAGTTTCTGCATGCCCTCTTACAGAACAGGATAATAATTTGGGCCACTGTCTTGTGGCACTGGCTGCAAGTGACTTTCCTTTCATGTCTGTTGCATATGAATACTGTTTATCAGCTTCCAAAATACTTGAAACTTTTTTTGTGTGGGAAATTTTAAAGATATACAAAAGTATATGGAATAGTATGATGAGTTCCCATGTACCCATCACCAATCTTCAGTGCATGGCCCATCTTGTTACTGGTCTGCTTCTACCTACCTCCCATTCCTCAACTTCTGGGATTGTTTAGAAGCAAATCCAAGACATACAAGTTCATTTGGAAATATTTCAGTATGTATCTTCGAAAAATAAAGACTCCTTAGTAAAGCAAACAAACATACCCACAGTAACTATTTTCACACACCTCCAAAACTAACAGTTCCTTAATATCAAATATGCAGTTATTATTCACATTTCCCCAGTTGTCCTAATTTTTTAAAAATATAACTCTTACACTTTTGACTTCTCATTTCCTGTTAATAGCTTAGTCAGCATTGTAAATAGGGATCCCAAACTGCCAAAACCACAAACTTTTTCACCAGCTCAGACCCAAGGAAATAAGTAAATAAATCACTAAAAAAGGAAGTCAATAAAGAATTCCTTGCCCAGAGTAAAGCAGTGTTAAGTCCTGAGTGGATGGGTAAGTGGTTAGTGAAAATGCCGGTCTCTATATTCGGTGCACATGTATACTGTAGACATGTGCCTGCCCGGATCTCAGTGTTCACCCTGCGATGGCTTGCAGATGGCCCCCAGATAAAGCCCCATTGGTAAGCGTTGCTCCTTGCCTCCTCAATATTGAGGGGGAGGCTCCGCTCTGAGCGAGACCAGGAACAAATCTTCTTGGGTAAGAACCTTTTAGTCTCAGTGCCACATTAGATGAACTTTTAGGTAGAGAAGCATCCAGCCTTGCACGTTAAGAACTTAGTGTTCCTTTTTCATCACTGTTCTCCATCTTAATGACACTTGGTTTGTAGAATGAGTCAAGTGTTCAGTTTCCATTTGCCTGACCTAATCATTAATCTGCCATTGGAGGTGACTGAATATCTGCTTATGGAGCAGTTTTTATTCTCCTTGGAACGTTTTCCATTTTCCGCCCTACCACCAAACCCCAGATTGAATAACTCTTTCAGACTTTATGAACTCACTTGGGTATATATTACTTTCCTTCCTTCTCTGCCCACCCTCCCCGCCCCTTCCCCAGGTATGATTAACAAAGCACTAACCGTGTACTAATGCAATAGATCTTGGCTTTTTACTCTCTTCTGTTTGTCTTGTTTGGCTGTCATTTTTGATGCAGTGTTGAAGACTGTGCCCTTTACTGCTCGCACCGCCAAGCGTGGCTCTCGATTTTTCTGCGAACCTGTTCTCACTGAGGAATACCATTACTAAACTATTAGTCTTTCTCACCTGATGCTCTTAAAAGGTTGCTACAGATTTTTTGACCTTTTATATCCCTCTGTATGTCTGTCAGGGCCACCCAATCTGCTAGCATGGAATTGCCATCTCCACCATGTTCTAGTTTATGTTGTCTTCACGCTGCATGGTTTTTTTATTTCAGTCATTCCTGCTTACTTACTGAAACTTTCCGTACATCTAGGAATCCACATGGCTCTGACGGTCTGGGTGTGTGTGAGCTGAATTAGTAGAATTGCTTGCAGAAATTTTCAGAAAAATAGTAAATAGAGCACTTGTTTGAGAATCAGGCTTGGGACCAACTAGGTTGCTAATAAGATTTTGGGGCTGATATCTTTGAAGACAAAATGATAGTCATTAATAACAATACTATGCTACCTAACATTTCCTGAGTACTTACTGTGTTCTAATAGGTTTATAGATATTAAACTAGCCTTTTTGTACTCGGTTAAGGTGCTTTGATAGTAAAATGAGCTTGCTATACAAGTGCTTAGGAATACAGTGCTCTAAAGTTGCAAAATGATTTGCAGAAGAAACTGTGAACTATGCGCAGCTGTAAATTGAACCTTTCTTAAGTATCTTACGTAGTCCATAGCCATCATCCAGTGTGCTGGAGCTGATGGCACGAGCTTTAACACAGGGAGTCCATTTGACCTGGAAGCCTGTATAAGCTGATAGAGGCAATCCATAGCTTTTTTCCCCTCTGATTGTCATGTCATGCTCAAGTTCAGCCATCAGCAATTCTGTGCTGGAGCAGGGCTGCAAGGCAGGAAGTGAAAACAGAGGCTGAGGAGCTCCCCACCGTCTTATCTCATTCATGCTTCTTTGCTGGTGGCTCTGTTCCATGTCAAACAAACGGTATTTCTTCTGTGGTGAGATCATATCTGGACCTACTTCTTTGGTTGGGATAGTGGCACCAGAAATACTAATAGAAAAATACCTATTTCTAGAAAATGCCACTGTTCTTAGAATTAAAAAAAAAAATCAAATCTTCCTAAAAAGTAACTGCCTTGGATTAGTTCCTGATGGCTGGATAAGAGACAGACTGCTCTGCAGTGCCCAGTTGATTAGAAAAGAGACAAGGGAAGCACTCACTCTAACTGGAAAGAGCCATTGTTTGACTCCCATGCTGAGATTGACATGGAACTGGGTATGTGTTTGTTTTGTGGCATTAACTCTTCTATGAATTGCACTTTTTTATGTATGTTCCTCTGTCTCTGAAGATATCAAAAGATGTGGTGTGTTGTTGCCTGCTCTGCAGTGTGCTTGCCCACCAGTGCTTATTAACAAGGCTAGAAACTGTCTTCTACTTGGCTAATGTTTATTGTCAGTTTTGCTGCTGGGCTATCTATCGTTCTGGAGCCAAACTTCAAAGCAGCTTGGATCTGGGTGGTCAGAGAGCTGGGTGGGAAGACACGCTCATCCTTTTCTTGTTTCATCTAATGTCTCTTGTAGTAGTGGCCTCCCACTCTCTTCCTCTGTTGGCTAACATGCCCGGGAATGTTAAGCACTAAGTTGAAATGCTTTCCATTTTCATCCCATTTTTACTTAACCATCATTTTGTGTTTTTGTTTTTTTCTGTTTAGCTTTAAAGAAGAATAATATCACTAAATTTCCAAATGTTCACTCGAGGGTAAGGATTTCTTCTAGCACACCGGTGGTGGAGGATACACAGAGCTGGCAAGCATCACTTTTTACTTAGCTTCCTCCTCTCTCTGTATGCAGATCAATGGTTTCAGTCTATGGCTGAGGGTAATACTGGTGAGAGTCTGATCAGGGAGAAGTCTTTGTACCTCACATTCCAGTGATGTGAGGCTGAGCCTCTCTGTTGGACTCTTTCTGGCCTGCTTTCATGTTCTCAAATGTGATGGCTTGGGCAGGGGTGTTTGCTGATGATTGTACTTGCTTTGGGTGGCTAGGATGTCCTTCCCTCACTGCCTTCTTGGCCTTCAAGTTATTCAATAAACCCCATTTTGACCTAAAGAAATGAAAGTCCTGGCCAGGGAACGTGATCTCTAGCTTTTATAGACTCAGGAATCACAGAGCTGCAGGACACTGCACATCCTTAGCCAGAAGTGAAATTCTGACCTTCCTTACCACTCTGGGCCAGGAAGCAGAGGCTTGAGAGGATTAGGGTATGCAAAACTTCTTTGCTTGAATTTACCAGGAGTAGGTCAGGGTCAAAAATTCCAGTGAGTCAGGAGCTGGGCTGGTGGGGACTGTGCTGAACCTGAGAGCCTAGGTCTCAGCGCTCACTCAGCTCCGGCGTGTTTTTGCCATGAAAGAATTTGGGCCCACTATTTCCAGATCCTCCACTTTTCCAAGAGAAGTCAGAAATCCTGGTTTTTACATTAACTGCCAGGTTAAATATGGGGAAACTATATTTAAAATAGAAGTTGGGGGCCAAACCTTCTGTGGGTCAGGTGTGGCCCATCAGCTCCATTTTCAGTCTACTCAGTAGGTGAAGGGATAAGACAGATTCACTCTGGTTTAATTCTGTTATTTGTTTGAGTTTCCCTTTCTAAAGGTAGAATGCTTCCCAGCAGAAGTCAATAATACTAAGTTAATGAAAAGGAAACTGGTACTAATTGAACAAAACAAGGGGCAAAAGTATAAAGCCTGCTTTATTATTTTTTTCACCATACCCTGACTCCATCAAAAGGCTACCTGCTAGCTACATATTCACTAATACCTGCCTTTTTCATTAAGAAAGCATGCTGTCATGCTAAGAGTCCTTACATAAAATAAAATTCCTCTTGTTCATCCCACTTTCTCCTTCTAGAACAATGCCTACTTGAACTGATATGTAGTGGTTGATTGATTCATTCATTCAACAAGGCATTTTTTTTAATGTTAGGCATTCTTCTGTGCATTTGCAATACAAATTGGAAAATGCAGGAAGGCCCATACAACTTCTGCCCTCTAATGAAAAACAAAAAATACTGGGTGGCAGGAAAGAATGTTTAGGAATGGAGGTTTTTTTTCTTTTTTTTTGTGTGGAAGATTAGCCCTGAGCTAACATCTGCTGCCAATCCTCCTCTTTTTGCTGAGGAAGACTGGCCCTGAGCTAACATCCATGCCCATCTTTCTCTACTTTATATGTGGGATGCCTACCACAGCATGGCTTGCCAAGCGGTGCCATGTCTGCACTTGGGATCTGAACCGGCAAACCCTGGGCTGCCAAAGCGAAACGTGCACACTTAACCGCTGCGCCACTGGGCCGGCCCCTGGAGGAGTATTTTGATTTAGTGATTACTTTTATTTAGTGGTTAATTGAGCATTATGTTTCTAATTCCCAAAATAAATGACTGACTTCAGCTAATATTAATGGAATAAAAATAATGGAACCTGTCTCTGCAAACTAGTTGTGGGTTCCTTCCTTGATTAAAATTTCAGATAAGATAGAACAGGGCAGTTGGTTTTACTAGTTTTGCAGTTTAAAATTCATTGTAATTATTGTTGACATTCAGGTTTCTAGAAAGGGAAAAAAACCCCAAAAGTAAGCCACAGTATTTCTAAATGAAGAAACATTTCAAAACAAGACTTCAGCTAGACTCTCTGGCCAGTGACAGAAGCAATCTCTTCTCCTATATATTTTTCTAAAAGTTACAGAATCCCACCAGTATTATATCCTGTTTTGTTTGACTGTAAATATTGAGGGCAAAGTACATGTCTTTGGCTCAAATACTCATTGAGTTTGAAGGGCCCATTAGCTGACTCTTCTACACAAGCTGCTTTGATTGGCTGCCAGCTGGCCTTTGTCTTGCTTAGACACATGATATTAAAGGTTGCGGTTCTCATTGGTGCTCTCCTCTTTACAGATCTTAGAAACCAACCATACAGACGAGCCGATGCGGTGAGGAGAAGTGTCAGGCGGCGCTTTGATGATCAGAACTTGCGTTCTGTTAACGGTGCCGAAATAACCATGTGAACCTGAGACCTGCCTGTATGAATGGAGGGTGTGCGTGATTGAAACTGTCCACAGGAAATTTATGTGCTACCATTTAACTGCAGCCTTGAACATAGATAATATATTCTAAGGGCTCAGATTTAGCAAACACATAGGAATTTAAAAATGATGGGCTTTCCTTTCAACCTTTGTTAACAAGTGCCTAAAAGTGGAAGTACCTGCTCAGATTAATCAAAGCAATAGGATTTGATTTGATTAGGTATCTTTTTACACCAGTATGTTATTCAATTTTTTAACCAAAATGTAAATTTCATATTAGAGTCATTACCTGCCATTGTGATTGTCCCATGATGGCCCACCCTGGTTTCCTGATAAATTGTAAATAACATGGATGCATCTGCTGTGGGCTTCCTTTGCTGAGATATCTTTTAAGAAATTAATTTTGTGTTTCAGCCATACCCATCAACTTTGTATTTTTAACGGCTTGCAACATGGAAGAAGGAAAAAGCCACATGATAAACTCCTTCTGCCCATAACCAAGCCCCAGCAAAGTACAGACAAGATGCAATTGCAGTGGCACAGGAGAAGTCACTCAACTCTCTCTCTTGTTTCACATTCTCCTGCTTCTGTGCTAGGGTACACTGCCCTGAGAGACATTCACCAGTCTGAATGCAAGGATATGATGGCATACAAATGTTGTATAAGACTTATTTGCAGTACTGTGTTCTTCAGCTAGAGGCAGCTTTTAAAAAATAATGCAAAATGTATTTATTAATTAGCACTAAAATTAACATCTCAGTAATCACTGTTAGGATTTCTGAGGACCATTATGGGTCAATCCTGAGAATATAAATCAGTGCCTTGCCAGCCAGGGAGAAGTCCACTAGCTCTATGAACAAGCATTCAAGATTACTTCTGCTAGCAGCGTAGTGTTAGTAACCTGGCCTTATTTTCCTCTGACAATCGCAAGGTTTTGTTTTGCTGCTGCTTCCTTTTGTAAATTGGAGAAGATATATTTGGCTTCATATATCAAAGCTAAGAAGTTATTTTATTTCTCATTACTTTATGAGGAACTGCAGTGAAATTGCTCAAGTATTCACATTGGGATTAAGCTTAAATGCTATGTAATGGGACTGAACAGCCAACTAAGCCACTGTTATTTTTCCTTCCTCTCTGGCACGGCACTTGATCCATTCCAAAGTCAAAAACTGGACTGAAGCTAATTTGTACTTTTCATAATATACATTGTGCTTCTGGCTTACCTTCTTGGTACATTACATCAATATATTAATTGTAAAGTTTATTGTATAGTATTTAACCACTGAATTTCTTATTTTATGTTGTGCTTATGTGAACTCCATGGTGAAGGTCCCATTTTCCTTGATAATGTGTAGTTATATGATCTCTTTTTAAATGTACAGATATTTTGCTATAAAACTGGTGCAGTTTTTTATGGTTTTTACACTTCTCTTTAATTCCCACCTAAGCCTCTGGGTAATATTGTAAATATTGTTTAAAAATGCATCAGCCTATGCTATACAATCTGAATGTTATTTTAACTTATAGTTTTTTTTTAATATATATATTTAACTACAAGGACAGTTTAGGGATCAGTTACATTTCACTTTAGCATACCTATTTACAGAAAGATTACGTTTAAACTGCCACCTGCTAGCACATTTTCCGAAATGTGTAATTGAAAAAGAACATGCCAAGATTTTGTCTTTCTGTTGACTGAACATTCATTTTGATGAAGAAAGCAATTTGACCATGAGATGTAGCACAAGTAGTTGGTCCTTTACCACAAGCAGCTGTTTTCCAAAGCTCAGTGCTGATGAGCATATGTTAAAATAATTGCCTATTTATTAATCTACAGACAGTAATGTTGGCATGTTCTTTTCTGTCTATTAATGGGCCTGCTTCTTAGCAATATTAGAAATGTTTTATAAAAGCAGTTCATGTTACTTTTCTGGTCTTTTCATGGCATATGAGCAAATAAACTATTTACACTACTATCCTGTAATATGTTGTTGCCTTTCAATGGTATATCTCAGGGGGTTTTTACCAGTTTTATGCACACTTTTATCTTCTAGAAATAGATACTGTGTTCCTGCGTGAACTCAGAATCTAAATATATTTGGCAAATTTTAAGGAAAAATCCCTCCTTGTACAAACTCTTGATCACTTGCTGTGTGGAACGTAAGAACCAAATAGGTTTTGGTAGTAAGGGCTACATCTCCAAAATTGTACTTAGGAATTGATTCCTTCCAGAGAAATAGTACTCGTTTGGTGAGACACTGCCTGCCCCTAAAGTTGTTTTAATGAAGAGGTGGTAGATATACAGATTGGGTGTGTGTAATCCTGCACCGGACAGCCACCGTTGGTTGGAAAGGTACACACAAGCATGTTGGCCCTGTTGTGCACACACAGTGATAATTGTAATGATAACTACAGGTCATCAGAAAAGTTTAGCATATTCTTTTTAGTATATTCTTTGCTATATTCCTTTTAGAGAAGGAAGGAAATCTGTTAATTTATTTTAGAAAACTGTCCCAGTGGCTTAAAAACTTAGGGGGTGTAAATTAGTCATTTAAGGAATTGTTGCAGTAGGTCTTCATTCCCAGTTCAGTGCTCTTTCCACTTCAACAATGTAGTTGAAGCTTTATTTTATAAAGAGGGGGAAAAGTTAGATTCTGCAGTTAGTAGAATCTCTAGTTTGTTCTATACCAGGACAAGTGCCTCATGATAAAGGAAATAACGTCCTCAATATTATCCCCAAAATTCAGAATGTTTTCAAACCCAAACTACAGCTGTTCAAATGAGGCAGATATGGTTAGGTTTAGAGCATTATATACTAGTCGCATCCATTTTTTTAAAGATGTTTACGAATACCTCAGAATTAAGTCCCCTTGTTCCCCACTCATAATCCTTCAACTAAACATCTAAATCCAAATCCACTAAAATTTACTGCAGTGACACCACAATGAATGCCCAGTAGCCTTGCTGACTCAACAACACTGCTCAGCACAGAATGGGACCTGATATCTATCACTGACTCTGCTGGTTCAACATACTGAATTCTGTAGAATTACCTAATTTTACACTAGAAGGTATGCTTTCATAATATTAGCTTTATAATTCACATACCTATTAATTTTATTACTTGATAAAACTTCTTAGCCCTCATATACTTGTTTCCTAATTTTTATCAGAAATGTCTGCAAAGATGAATATACTGTCAGCCCAATTCATACAAAAGGATTAATCTCTTAGTTTTCCATTCCATTTGAAACTAACACCCCATCTATTTCCAAGAAAAAATGTGAAGAAACAAATGCATGAAGTGTCGATAGGCTTTTTTTTTTTTTTGCTGAGGAAGATTAGCCCTGAGCTAACATCTGTGCCAATCTTCCTCTATATGTGGGTTGCTGCCACAGCATGGCTGAGGAGTGGTGTAGGTCTGTGCCCGGGATCCAAACCCATGAACCTAGGCTGTCAAAGTGGACTGTGCCAAACTTAACCACTACATCATAGGGCTGGCCCCAATAGACTTTTTTTCTTCATCTAACTTTTTATAGAGAAAAGTATTACACTGAGAAAACAGAGAATATGGGCATCTAGCATCTCACAGCACAGAACTGCTGCATATGAAGGGTGCTTAAAGGAAAAAATGGACACAAATCCAACTTATTTAGTAAAAGATGCCATTTTTTCTAATAAATTATATTTATTTACAAAAGGCCTAATTTTATATAACTATGAGGTTCTTTACATCAGAACAATATATAAACAGAAGTGAAAACCTAGTAATTACAAACACAGAAAATAGAAATCTTGTTCCCCCATTACTCACCTTTCAGAACAAGTCTTCAGTTTAGTTGTAGAGGTAGGCAAGATACCAACACCTACCAAAAAAGTTTGCAGGCAGGACCAAAAAAAGAGATGTTTATAAATAGCATATTTATATAAACCCCAAGGAACAGCATAAAAGAAGGGCATCAAGAAATGGCTCAGTTTGAATCTGATCTGATTAGGCAGCCACTCTTTCAGTCTATGATTGAACACCAGGGTGGGGAGGATAGCCAGTTCCCCTGAAATGCAAATGTCTACCTTACACCTAGGGCAATTGCCATCGAATTAAGTCAATTACCAACCACTAACAATGACATAGCCTTGAACTAGATCCTATTGAGTCATACAAGTGATTTTTATATAGCAAGTTTAAAACATAAAAATACGCACTCAAGGACTAGGCCAGGTAGACAAACTAAATAAAACGGAGGACTAGGGGGAGCGTGTAGGTAATCAGAGCACATTCTTCTCACTTCCTACTTCACCCTAAGTCAGCTCCAATACTTAATGTCACCATTATTCACCCCTTTGTCAGAAGTAGCCTGAAATGATTAGTTCTGAGCTCAGAATTTAAATAGGAATTTTGCTATTGTGTCCATGAGGGCCTTTAAAGACCAACTCTGATCTAGCTAAATGTTAGCTCAAATAAAAGTTACTACTTCTAAACTATTATATTAATTTATGAATATGATATGAAAGGGATGTTTCAGATCATCACAAGGGATTTCCTTTCCTACTCAAAAACTACATGGAAGTTATTTTGTCACTAACAAGTTTTGGACATTTCTGAAGTAACAGTTAAGATAAGGTACAGTCACTAGAACTTACCTTAAGTGCACTTCAATTATGTATGTGGCTTTAGTTGTGGGTTAGTAGAGTTTATTGCAATGCTTTTTCAAGCCCTTTAATATAGATGATGGGTACTATGGATGGTGGATGAGTACATCTGTCACGTAATATTTTACATTCAATAAATACCTACTACATGCCAGGCACTGCCCACAGGATATACCAGTGAATGAAACACAAATTCCTGCCCCCCAGAAACTTGACCACCATTTAAGTGAAAAAAAAAAAAAAACAACTGAGAAACATAAGAGCAAGGTAAGAATTGATAAGGAAAGTAAGAATTGTGGGACTGGTACATCCCAGTACCAGAACCGCAGAATGAGATTATAAGCCTATTATTATAAGCCTATCAGAACACAGTTCCATTAAAATTACTCATATCATTTTGCTTTTCCTTTATGTAAAATGAGTGCAGTTTTACCTAGAGAATGTAAAAGAAGAATTAAAATTCTACCTGGTATTTAGAGAGATACATCCCCAAGGGAAAAGAAAAAATCTCAGATGTAAGATATAAGCAGTTAACGTGCTTTGCCTCATTTTGCTTTTAGAAATGTTTATAGTTCTTTAGTTTTGTAGTGTACATTTAAATTACATAATCTACTTAAATATCCTAGAAGCTTAAAAAAAATAAAAAGACTCACCACTCTTCCTTGGGTACTATTAAGTTAGAAACTGTTCCCTCTCTTAAATAGCATCTAAGCTTTAAAAAAAATCTTTATGTAAAGGGCCTACCCCTTTTTGGATGCAAAAATAAAAGTGGCTGCCAAAGTCACTCAGTTGACCATTAACACTGTAAGAAAACCAGGATCATCTAGGCAAATGCTTCTTAACACAGGATGCAGGCCCTTTGGTAACTGAATGAAAGCTATGGACCTTCTTTCCAGAAAAATATGCACAGATTTTCAGGGGTTTTACAGTTTCCTCATTTTACTACTGTGAATTAAGACTGCCTTACTCGAGGCCAATCCTTTTCATTTTATAGTTGTATAAAACGCCCAATTAGTAAAAGTCTAAAGATGAAATAGTTGTGGTACTTTGATCATTTTCAAATTTACCAGGAGACATAAAAAGTACTTTTGTATTCTTCTTACTTGATTGTTTATACAAATCCAATTTTCCCACATAGGAATTATGGATCGGGAGAAAACAACATCAAATATTTGAGCTTCTTATTTTGACTACTAAGTATATTAAATTTATTAGTGAATTTAATCCAATAACTCAATATTAATGATGAGGGAAGGTAAACTCTCAACATTTATCCAAGAGTCTAAGGCTTAATTGAAAAGTATAAATTCTCCTTATCTGAAAATAAACATGCTTTCCTGTTTAAATACATTTGTTTAAGCTCTGTTCAAACTCTTGTCTGCTCAACTCTAATAGACCTAATATTCTAAAACATTTCAGCTTTTACCAGACTGATGATTTAGAAACCTAATCTAATAGGGTAAAAGTATTCACGTACAACTCCTGCTTTCACAAAATTTCCCTATCACCTGTACCTTCAGACTGTACAGTATCTTTCTGACAACTAAATCTCATTTGATGGGATTATCAAAGGTAGACAAGGATTACAGTCGCTTCAATTACATCTTTTATAACAAGAATGCTGTATTGTGAGTTGCAAATTGTTCACTGGTTTCTAGGTCTAATAATTTTCATAGGTCAAATACAGGGAAACTTGAATTTGTATTGTCTTGTAAGGATATCAAGTTGTGAGAAGCCAGTATCTCTATAAGAAATACAGAAATCTATTTTGAGGACATTCTAAAACACATCAATAGCTTTTTATTTAAATAGAAAAATCAAAACTTTAAAGTTGTACTTAAAAAATTATCATTCATGGAAGTAATTAAAACAAAGTTTTACAGCTTCTAAATTCTCTCGTGAAAACATCACTACTATTTCTGCCAGTATCATATGCATAAAGATTGTACCACTGACTTCTGTGTCAAGTGTTTGACATGATTAGCAATATTAACGATCATTACAATGGGACCTCTGAAATTAAGTCTAGGCAACTCCACGTTGCCAAAGTTGTTCTATGTTTTGGTTCTAATGTACAATAGGAGACTAACCTCCAGCAAGCAACTTGATTACTTCATATTTTCTAAAGATAGTGATTCTCACCTTCTACAAAGTCCTGTCCTATTTCACAGCAGAAAAATGAGCTGGCAGAGAGAAGTTCAGAAACAATCCACCCCCCAGTCCCATTTTGAGACTTGCAACAGTGGCTGCTACATTTAATTGAAATACAGGGAGCAGGGATGAGAAAGAGTCGTCCTGGTCAGTCCCACTTTCAAATTAATCAGGATAGGGAAGGAAAAATAAAATGAACTTTCTGTTCTTCTAAATCCCAACTTGAAATGAGATCGCTCAAAGTGTCCAAAATAAAAAAAATGCATAATACCAAAGACTATATGCTAAAATTTACTTTAAAAAATCTCCTGCATTGAAGAAAAAATAGTATAAATTACGTTACCAACTTTCAAAAGTTAGCATATCAGGAGTATTCTAGCTTCAAATCATTGCCTCTCTAAAGAATTCTGTAGGAAATTCATAGATCAAAAACGAATATAGGGGCCTCAAATGCACTGATTCATAATATTCTTAAATATTCAAAAAGGAAAATAACCTAGCTATGTGGGTAAGATGAAGCAAAATTCCAGGGACTTAGTATCTTTAAGTGGTTGTACAATTTTTTTTAGAGCTGAGCAGTTTAAGTAGAAATAAATACTAGTACACGCTAGAAGAGAAGGTTTAATAATTGATAAAAATGTACAAAAATATTCAAATCAGAAATGCTTTAGAATGTGTACCACGAAGTCAATACTTCTCAGTGAGTAGGGAAGGTAAAAGACTTCCTCAATGAAAAAAAAAGCAAGAGAAAGATCGAATTTTTTTTTAAAAAAAGACAACTGTTAAAGAAAATGTTTAAAGTCAACATTGATTTTTGTTTTAGACAAGGATATTGCAACTATCACTTAACGTTTGGTGGCACATTCTTTAGTAGGTCCTTAAGGCAATATATTTAAACTAATTTACAATTTGATTTGATGTTAACTTTTTAAACATCACCTCAAAATAATGCCCTCACAATAGCCTTTTTAAAATGTAATCGGATGTTTCATAAAAAATAATGGTGGCTTTATTATAGTAGTGCTTATTAACACCACTATAGTTAAGGGTCTACCAGGTTTCCATTAAGAACACCTATTTCTGAGTTCACCATAAAAGATCATATCGGCTTTAACCAGTTGGGTAGTGCACAAAAAACCAGTTTTATCAGTTGCTGGTGCTTTGTTTTGTACTACTAGGTATCAAAAAAATTTTCATTATATCTTCAAAATCCAACTTCTATAAAGTAAATCAAATCATCTCATGACTTAGACTTTAGAACAAAGTAGAGACATCTGCAGTTATCAGTAAATTGCCACCTTTAATCCATCCTGCAGTGCCCTCTGAAAGGGTCACAGAAAGACAGTTATGACCGTATGAAAATATGATTCTTGATACAGAATCAAAAGTTATTTTCAATTTCCTTTGCTTTTATAAAGTCCACAATAACAATACTTAAATGCACTTTTTTTTTTCTGTGATATAATTAAAACCCAGTGTTATTTCAATTGAACTTAAAATAGAGTCCCTGGTCTGAATTAGACTTTAAATCATACTGTAAACATATATTTGGTATAATTTATTGATCATCATCCAGTTGCTCCAAAAGGGTCCTTCTGCGCTTTTCCAATTCTCCTTCACTCAGTTCACTGCCAGAAGTATCCCAATTACCCTGAAAAGACATTGAATACAATTATATTTGATGTCAAAAGGTTACATAGTAATGAACCTTTGAAAAATGATCCAAAATCTATATTGATTCTCATCCACAGAAACAAGCACATCACAGGGTTTAAAGACTGACCTCTTTCCCAAAAGCCTATCAATGTGTTGCTAACTAAGGACTCCTTGGTTATATTAGGGGAGACACTTAACTCAGAAGGAGGTTTTTACATGGTGCTACTTTCACTTTACATTAATATGTAAATCAGGGAGAACGGTTCATTCCAGTTTCTTTTCCTTCCTCTTACACAACTGAATATAAAACCTCTTGTTTCCATTTAATGGAAGCTGGGTATTCATTTCCCAGGCACTATCTCCTTGCTGATTTTGCACAGATTCTAGGTTGTCCTCTTAAGTGTTTCGTATTACAGAAAAGCATTATGCTTTAAGCATACTGTTGTGCCCAGATAAACAAACATTTAAGGTTTATGAAAAGGACAAGACTTATGCTGAAAAAAAAAACCCTCGAAAAATAAAAGTAATACTGCATTATCTATGAGAAACAACCTTTGAAAAATGGATAGCTCACCTAACCTCCCTCCCTTCAGAGATTTCATTTAACCTACTGTAAGGAAGAAACTGCTAAGCTGCTAATAAGTATAGAGAAAATATTCATTCTTCACCATGGATGTGCATCAGACTCACCAGTGCAGTTTTAAAAAAAAGCTATACCAACTGAATCAGAATATCCAAATGGAGCATCAGGGCTTATCTACACAGTTTAAACTCTCCACTGGTGATTCAGAGGCATTACCCTTGCTAAGCCCACAGCATTTGTGGAAGGAATGGCAAGGCTAAGGCAGCTAGGGTTATTGTGTTCTGTCATTCATAAATATACACACACACACACACACACACACACACACACACACACACACACACGTATATGGGAATCTAAGAACTAATTATGTAATTTGATATTAAAATATTAACTTTGGCTTGTAGTATCTACCTATTTGTCCTCACTTCTTCCCCTCAATGCTCATTTCTAATGCTACTTTTTTTTTGGTGAGGAAGACTGTTCTGGAGCTAAGATCCATGCCAATCTTGCCAATCTTCTTTTTGCTTGAGGAAGAGTATCCCTGAGCTAACATCTATGCCAATCTTCCTCTATTTTTTTCTACGTAGGATGCTGCCACAGCATGGTTTGATGAGCAGTGTATAGGTCCACGCCTGGGATCCAAACCCAGGAACCCTGGGCCGCTGAAGCAGAGTGCGTGAACTTAACCACTACACCACCGGGCAGGCCCTGGAATGCTTCCTTTTGAAACTGGATTTAGTAACCATGACAACTGTGGACATCTAGAGGGAGAATTCCTGATTTGAGTCTCCTAAATGTTATATTCCTTAAAAAATTAGGTAGAAAATGTCTAGTGGCACTTCTTAGTGAGAATGTACAAAGCAGACGACCATATCTTTTCTTAGTGGGTTAAAACAATAGTTACGGAATGCTGTTATTTTTTTAAGGAATATAAAATTTAGGACACTCAAATCGGGTCATTCATGACCACATAAGTTAAAAAACTATTTTGTGTGAAAGGTAGTTAACTGAATTTTCACTGTGTTCTTCAATGGCAGCAGACCTGAAAAAGGTCTATTCTTTAAACACCATCATAGTTTAACCACAGTATCTATTCTTGTATTTTGAAAATACAGGTATGACAGAATTCTAAATACTTACAGAATCCTTTCCAGTCTTTTTCTTAGGTGATTTGTGTTTTGATTCTGATCTTTGTCTAGTTCTGTCTTTTTCACTTTCCCGGTCTTTTTCTTTTTTATCCTTCTCCCGTTCAGCATCTGACTCCGGAGAGTCCTGTATAAATAAAAAATGTTAGGATTTTGATGAAGACACCATTCTATTTTTAAAAATCCTATATAACTAATATTTAAGACCATTCACATAAAACAGGGTATGTGATCTCAGAGTGGTGAAATGTGAATTGTTAACATCAAGGATTCTTAACATTTCCAAGATTCATGGGAGGGAGATGGTCTTTCCTACAGGAAAGATGACATTCTAATAGGGTAACATGCCACTAAAAGAGCTTCATTAAATTAGGGACAAAGGTACACTTAAGATTGGATTATATCTATTATGTAAATATAGATAGATACTACATTTTCCACCAACCAAGTAAGATACTGATTTATGTGGATATGTATAATAGGATGCTGAGATCAGCTTAATCACATATTACGTTGACAGCTGTATAATAAAATTCTTTCCTCAAAATTGCTACCAAGAAGCAGGAATTACCTAAAATGTAATGCCTGTGCCTAAATAAAGTCCTTTATTAGATATGCACAAATCCAAGTGAGTAGCATGAAAAAGTCTCATTCAACATGTTTGTGGTGACACCCAGGCCCTTACATTTTGAAAAATCTCCTTAGGTGTTATCTTGATGTGTACCTAAGATTAAGAACTAAGAGTGGAGGAGGGAGTTGTTTAAACATTTAAACTTTTAGTTCTCAAAAACAGTTATATAAGATTACTTTAAAAAAAAAAAAAAAAAGGAAATCTTTTTTTTTTTTTTTTAAACTTCACCAAAAGATTTCAATGGAAGATTAAGGTGAAGAACAACTATAAAACTCCTGAGTTTAGGTGCCCATCTGAACTGTGCTGGACTACACAGGACTAGATAGGAAAAGCTTCTACTGCCACTGAGGAAGTTGAGGGCAGAAGCCTAAAAACAGGGTAAAAAGTATAAGCTTGCTTACAGATTTATGTCTCCTCTTCTTGCTTTTCTTCTTATGTTTTTTTGACTTCTTATAGCTTCTCTCTATGTAGCATGAAAAGAAACAAAGCGTCAGAATGTGAGGATATCCAAGTGTCAATGATTTTAATCAAGTTAAAAGATAGGCTTACCAGACTCAGCACTAGAAGAATGTTCTGAAGCAGATCGGGACTCTGATCGCTGCCTTTTTTTCTTTGAATGGCTGTCGTCATCATCTGAATCTGACCCCTAAAACAACAGAAATAATTTCATTCACAATGATGCTAACAAACATATGTTACACCTCAATACACCTATGATGCCATCCAATAAACTTCCTTACCGATCGAGAGCGGGAACGTTTCCTGTGATGTTTTTTAGATTTTTTAGAATGTTTCTTGTTCTTTGAATGATGATGTTGACATTCGTGCTACAAGGGCAAAGGAAAAAATTTCAAAAGTTCGCATTTACTTTAAACAGCAGATCATAATTTTTAAAAGCTATACAAATAATTTCTTAAAGTAAAATTCCATTCATTTTGCATATTTAGGATGTACTCCCTTGAAACTGTGCAAAGAATTAACATCTCTTAAAATGTTTTCTTCTGTTCCTTCTTAACCATCCTGTATCTCCTCATTTAGACTCTCAACAATGTAAAAATGTATTAATAAAAAAGTACTTTTTATAGGAATGATAATGATGTGTGCTAGTAGGGATACTGATAACTCTCCAGAAAGGTATAATCTGCACAACAGTCACACTGCTTTCAAAAACAGTGAAATACAATTACATTCAGACACAGTTTTTCCGATGAATCTGGCTTTGGCCAGTGAACTAGGCCCAGTAAGAAGATAAAGAGCTACCTTAGAGCCATCCTTGAACTAAGATAAACGAGGCTAGTCTCAGAATAAATGCAAAATCTACTCCTTTTTTTTTTTTTTAATTCTCTTCCTAATCAAACTTAAGACACTGGAAGGCAATCTACCTCTAACCTCACATGAAATCAAAGAGGAAAAGCTGTCTCTGTGCATTTTAACTCTTTCATTAAAACAATTATCAGGCTGGTAGAAAAAGGTAAATGATGCAGAAAGCTCCTTAGCCCTAACACAGCTACGGTTCTGAAAATAAATTCTGATTCAGTTTACTTAGTGGAAATGGAAAATCTGGCTCAGAAGGACTCTCATTCTTTATGTCACTAAATGCTAACTCTTTTTCTATTTCAAGGCCCAAGACTATTGGGATTCAAAACCTACTCTAATGTGTTCAGCCCTTCCCTATGCTACCATCTTAAGCTCCACTTCTAACTTGACCACTTTACCCCCAGTAGAGATCGTGAAAGAATCTTGTTGGAGATTCTTGAATTGAGGGAAAATGTTAAACACTAACTAGAGCAGAGCTTCTCAAAATTAAATACACACTCTACTGCCCGAGAATCTTGTTAAAATGATGATTCTGATGCAGGACGTTTGTCGGCAGGGCCTGAGGTTCTGCGTTTCTAACATGTTCCCAGGTAATGCAGATGTTGCTGGTCTAAAACACACTTTGAGTAGAAAAGATCTTAGAGGCCAACAGGACTAGATCCAGAGGCAGCTGGGAAACGAAATAGGGTACACGTAGGTATATATTAACAGAGCAAACTGCTGTCAACAATGATATTCATCAAGAACAGTAAATCCAATGAAAGCATTAACGGTCAATTAAGTGACCTGCTATGCCCAATGACCATGCAACACTATATTAAGTATAAGTATGTGCCAGCTTTTAGCTGGTTTTAACGTATCAGTTCATCTATAACTGGAATGGAAGTACAGCATACTTGTTAAAAGCGTGAACCTTAGAGTCAAACAGCCTTGGTTTGCAAAGTACTTTATTTCTCTTTGCCTCAGTTTGCTCATCTGTAACTGCACAGCGTTGTTGTAAGGATTAAGTTCACATGTGTAATATTTGTAAAACAATTAGAACAGTGCCTGGCCCAAATATTAGTAATCAATAATTACTGGTCAATTTAGCATATTCACCACTTACAACAAATGTCTACCTGAAATCTTTATCAAAATACCCTTATTCAGCTAATGGAGTAATTTGTAATTTTATCATTACTTGTTTTAACAAAAATTTACTACTTACTCTATTATTTTTCAGAACCCCCCTGAGCTTTCAATACATCTAATGTAGTGTAATATTTGAAACATGTGCTTAAAACCTGTTTTCTATCTACTTTACAGGATTTTAAGTTTTCTTTAGGTTTACTAGTTAGTCCATGTGGCTGTTAAATTGCTGCATATCTAAAACACCGTAAAAATATGTAACAAATTATGAACAGTCTCCACAAACAAATCTTTATGTTCCCATACAAGCTTAGTTTGTTTCACTTAAGAGCAGTTTCTATAGAAAAATTAATTCCCTAACCATCCCAGGTAACTACATTTGTATAAAAGCAGTGTAATTTAAGAAACATACTTTGATCATTCTAAATTCTCCAAATTTTGTTTATATTTTATATTTCTACCAGTTATGAGAATACTAAAATTACCTCAAGCACATGCATAAAATCTTTAAATATTCGTTTTCTTTCAGACTCCAGAGTTATGTCCTCAAACGCTGGCTCTTTTACAAATCTCTCCCGGATCTGAAAAATTCAGATATGGAATAAATTCATGAATACCAAGAGAAGTGTGCCAATATGACTAAAAGAAATCATAACAGCAAGTGAAAACAGTGACAGCCTCGTCCTCTCAAGTCTCTTGTTTCCTTTTCTCTAAAGTCCAAACCATTTTTAACAAATATTCCTAAACGCAGAGTCACAGCTGACTTTATACTTTTAATATATGTAATATCCTTTCAATATATGTAATATACTCTACAAATAACCTTAGCTTGTTTTTGTGGCTCTAAAATGGGAAAGGAATTAAAAATATTTTTATCTTCACTTGTAAAGGAAACAGTTCATTAGAAAAATTTTACAAGTATACATACATCTTCCCACACAGCATCCAATTCTATTGGAGGAGTAGCTTGTTTCAACATACTCTTAAATGCAGATTCTTTTCGCTTCATCTTCCGAGCCTCCTCTTTTTCTCTTTCACGTTCACGGGCTTCTGCCTTTTCTAGTAACTTTTAGAAAATCACATTTAATCAGTTATAATAGAACAATTATACTGTTAGCTGAAACAACTCATTATTCTTAATTTAAGTACTCTCCTATCATTTATAAATTAAGGGCCAATTTATAACACCAGTTAATTTGAGCAAAAAAAGCTTAACATCAGCCTATCATCTAAATACATTTTATCTTACCTGGAAAGACTGTCTACTAGTATGTAAAATCCTACTCATATTCCTGTATTTCAGTAGCCTACAACTTAAGTACTTTTGGCTGAATATATTAAAAACTGTACTATTAAACTAGTTGTTTATAATTAAAGATGATAACTTACACTATTGAAAGCCAACTTAATATTTCCAGCATCTAATGTGGTTGATCTTTTAGTTGAACTAATTATTGCCACAAAATCTTCAAAAGTGGTATTTACTTCAACTACAAATCCTTTATCCTAAAAAACAGAATTCTTGTTAATATTAATAACATAAATCAAAGGAGCACAGTATCAGTTTCTAAAATACACTATAGATTTAACAGTTAACAACAGTAAGTATACTACTTACCTTTAGAATGTCTTTTATTATTTTCTTCTCATCATGGTAACGTGCTTTAAGATCCTCAACATAAAACTTGAAAAGGTCAAGTGCAGTTGATCCTAATGAAAAAACTAAAGAAGTCAAAAGCTAGCTCTAACCAAAGAGCTGCAATTACTTTTTGTTTATAAAACAAAATAAAGCACCCCCCCATTCCCCAACATAACCACCTTCCCCTCTGGTCCATTCCAACTACTATCATAACTAAATTAGGAAAGAAAAGAATCTCACCCGGCTGACCAAGCATATTAGTGAATCTAATGTCAGAACTAATTGTTGGATACAATTCCATCCAAGACGACATAGAATGCAGTTGTCCATGTTCATGCAGTTCATCTAAAAATATCTGGGGGAAAAAAGAAAACTACATTATAACTTAAAAGTTTTTAAGGACATTAGAAATATTAGTCTAACATGAAAACACATGTTAAAAACATAGCAATATTTAAAACTCTTCTACCAATGTTATTCCAATATGTTTATGCGCAAAGAATATTTGCTCTTTGATGAAAGCAAAATCTGCTGTTAGGCAAAAAAGTATTTTGTACTTCAGAGAAAAGGACCTTTGAAAAACTTTATTAATCTTTCCAGGCTTCAGTTTACTGTCCCTTAAGATGGAACATCATTTCCAGTTTAAAAAAAATATATAAAGGTAAAAGTTAAAACACTGGATATTATCTATCTCAAATGATGAGGCTAAAGAATGTGTACGTTTCCTGTAAAATATGTGTTCTGGGTGTTTTTATTTTTTATTTAATTTTCTTAACAAATGTGGACCTCTAAAAGAATATATAATTTTACCAAAGTGAGATGTAATAGGAATCTGGGGAAACTAGGACTAAACCCCATATCTGATTTCAAAACTTCTTTCCTTTCTTTCCTATCACTATTATACCTTAAGTCTAAATATTTATATGCTTATTCCAATTTCTCTTTTTTTAATCTCTTTTTACTACTTTGACTTTTAGGGCAACATATTGGGACATAAACACTCAGCAATTTCCACATTTCCTACTTCCCCAAATTCTTAGGGAGTTTAGTGCTACAAAAAAAATCCCTAAAGAACTATGGCCCAAAATGCTGCTCTTAGAATTTCTATACCTACACCATTCAATATGGTAGCCACTAGTCAAATGTAGCTTCTAAGTACATGCAATGTGGCTGGCTAGTATGAAGCTGTCATCAGTATATAACACACAATAGATTTTAAAAACTTATTACAAAAAAATATTAATTTTTAAAAACACTGCATGTAAAAATAATATTTAGATATATTGAGTGAATAAAAAATTACTAAAATTAGTAAGAAATTAAAATCATGTATGTGGCATACAAATTTTTATTGGATTGTATTGTCCTGAATAACACCAGACACCTGTAACTCCACATCTCTTCAAATAATAAGCATGTCCATACAGTCTTATATTTCCAAAATTCTTTTCTAAAACTTAATATTTATCCTTCTGCCCCTACCTTTCAACATACATGGATTCCTATCTTAACCCACCCCTGCTCTGTGATCACCAGGTTCCTCACTTTCTTCCTCTTTCCAGTCCCTAAAAGAGCTTAGAAACCATCTTCAATAATGCTCTCCAGAATCTTAGAATCTACTCCACTCTATCATATCTGTTTTGCTAGCATTTGTGTTTCACTTCCAGGTTGCTAAGATCTGATAAAGTCATAGAATTTTGAGATTGAATCAATTTCAATAGTGAATCCCAAACGTGAGTAAAAATCAGAATCACCTGAGATTAAAAAAAAACAAAGGATTGAAATCCAGATATTCGTAATTTTACTTTTTTTTAAAGATTTTTTTAATTTTTTTTATTTCTTCCTTTTTCTCCCCAAAGTCCCCCAGTAGATAGTTGTATATTCTTCGTTGTGGGTCCTTCTAGTTGTGGCATGTGGGATGCTGCCTCAGCGTGGCCTGACGAGCAGTGCCATGTCCGCGCCTAGGATTCGAACCAACGAAACACTGGGCTGCCTGCAGCGGAGCGCGTGAACTTAACCACTCGGCCACGGGGCCAGCCCCTCGTAATTTTACTTTTTAAAGATCACCAGATGACTCTGATGGAAATTCAGGTTTGAAAACTATTATGCTAAAATTGCACGGTTCTTACTCTCTTATTTACTAACCCTATCTTGGGGAAAGGGAGAGGAGCCTAGTCTTTTACATTATGGAAATGAAGCTGCTTCAAAGATTGCTGAGCTTGGTATTTCTCCCTCCCTTAGAGGAGAGGTTCCCAACCGTGGCACTAATGACATCTTGGACCACTTAACTCTTTTTTTTGTGGGGGGTGCATTGGGGGCGTGGGAGTGGGGGGCGGGGCAGGGGGGGAGTTGTCCTGTGCATTGTAAGATTTTTTAGCAGCACCTCTGGCCTCTCCTCAACCAAATGTCAGTAGCACCTTTCCTTGCAAATCATGACCATCAACAATAAACAAAATTGATAGTTGAATACCACTCACTGCCTCAGAGCCAATTCAATAATATTTCTTTTCCTCATCTCCTTCTTTCTTTTTGTCTCCTTCTATTTACCTTTAAACTATTTGGTCACCCTAGCTTTCCCTACCATGCCAAAAGTAACTAAACACCTTAAATGCTACACCTAACCATATTTTTTCAGTCTCATCAAGATTCTTAACATTTTTTCTACTTTTGGTATGTTATTCTATCTCAGTGGTTCCTCAAAGAATCATTTGAAGGACAGGTAAAAACCAGATTATTGGGCTCCACCCCAGAATTTGATTCTTATTAGAAATGCAGATTTTCAGAACTCACCCCAGATCTACTGAATCAAATCTAGGGGTGAGGCTCAACAATATGTGGTTTTAACAATCCTCCGAACGATCGTTTGGGAAACCACTAAGATAAAGGACCCATCAAGAGTAGCAAATGTTAAGTTTTTATGCAATGAGGACTGAAATAACGCTATTGGCTATGGCATTTAAGATGGTTAGGGACCTTTGGCATGGTAAGGAGAGTGTTTTGTTTTTTTGTGTGTGTGAGGAAGATTGGCCCGGCGCTATCATCCATTGCCAATCTTCCTCTTTTTGCTTGAAGAAGATTGTTGCTGAGCTAACATCTATGCCAATCCTCCTCCATTTTATGTGAGATGCCGCCAGTGTGGCCTGATGAGTGGTGCTAGGTCCATGCCCAGGATCCAAACCTGTGAACCCCAGGCCACTGAAGCAGAGGGTGCAAACTTAACCACTATGCCACTCAGCTGGCCCCAAGAGAGTGTTTTTTAAAAGCTCTCTAAATGATTCTGATGCACACTAAGTTTTGAGAACCAGTGCCTTAGGGGATGGCAATGTGCTCTACCTTGGACCAACCAGCTGTTACTACTTCAAGAAATAAAACTCTTATTTAAGCCACTGTAACTTAGCATTTATCTTAATACGGTTTTTAATGGTGGAGCCTCTGTAATTAAGACTGCATAGATTTAAATTCTGGCTCCACTATTCAGTAGGTGATTTGGGCAAGTCACTTCACCTCTTCAGAGAGCCCATTTCCTTATCTACATAAACGGACATAACAAAAATAGTACCTACTCTTATAAGGCTGTCACAGAAATTGAGAGATTATAAATTTAAAATGTATAGCGGAAAGCAATCAATTAACACTAACTGCTATTATTATAATTACTATGGAAATGTGCAATCTGGTGAAATATAAAATGCAAAAATTCACTGCTCCAAGATATTCTCCATTACTCAGAGAATAAAAGTAATACTTGGAGGTGAAAATGAGCCACTAGCCTATACAGAAAATAGGTAATTTCAACGCTTGTGTATAATGTTTAAGAATTATGGCCCATCCCCAAACTATACCACAGCATTCCCTACAGTTCTCTAGAGCTTAAAAAATCAACTAGTACTAATGACTCATCACACATAGTTTAAGTCTTTCCTCATGCTATTCCTCTTTCCCAAGTGACACCGTATCTATCAGTGCTCACCTTAAATACCAAATCTGCTACAGCCTTCTATGTTCCCCCAGCCTAAAATGGCTGCTCTCCTTGAGTGGATTCATAGCTAATTGCAGAACTTGAGTCAAATGTGTACAGATTCTCCACAAAGCAGAAGTGAATGATCTGGGATCAGGTGTCTCAAAATTGTTTATATCCTTGTTCAAGCTCATTAACCATAATATAAAATTAAGGTAAAAAAGATATTTTCTTATTACCTGAAAAGATTCTCTATTTTTACGCTGTCGTCTCCTTTCTCTCAGCAAACTCTTCTGTTTTTCTTCTTCTTCCTCCTTTTCTAAAGCCCGAATGTGTTCTTCAAAGCAAATTAATGCATCTTCTTTATCCATGTCTAGTTTTTTTCAAAGAAAATTAGAATGTCAAATATCAGTAAGGAAAGCAGTTTAATTATTTACATTAACTCCCTACAAATTTCAACTTCACCTCTCTAAAATACTTGTATTTAAACTCAAATATGACTTGTAATCATCTAAATAAGAAACATTTAAGGAAAATTACAAGATCTCATTAAATATAAGATACCCTGAATAAGAGGATAAAACAAAGACCATGCACGTGATACAATTAATGAAAATAAAATTATGACAAAATTTGTCTGCAGTATCTGAATTACCCAAGATTTTCAAAGTATAGAATTCTAGGCCCTATCCCAAATCTACTGCAGCACGGCATTCAGAGGGATAATCAAGAAAGCTATAATTTAAAAAACAACTAGGTAGGTTAGAAAAAGACCAAAGTTGGGGAAGCTTAATGTAAGATAATGCTAAAATATTTTTTGCTTTTTGCAAATCTAAAGCCATTACCTCAAGAAGACAGTGTGAGTAAAATCTGGTACTTAATTAGGTTCTTACCAAGTCCTATAAATGGCAAAGGACAATTTCAAGTTTGACCTAGGATAAACATATTTCAAGGATTATCTGATAAGGCGAACTTTAGAGTTTTGGAAAAATATTATGTCCTGAATCAGAAAACTTAATTCAAAAGAAATATTCTTTTTGGAAACAAACAAAAACATTTTTTCAGAAAGGGGCAAACAATTTTGTAAAATTCACTTAGTGATCTCACAGAAAAAGTGAGAATTCTTTGCTGCTGGACAGCTTTTTAGAAATTGTTTCTCCCATTTAGCCATTATTCTTACTCTGTAGTTCCTCATCTTCTGCAAAAGTTGGATTATCCATCAGATACTGCTGGGCTTCAGACCAAGTAGTAGAGTATGTTACGTTAGCCATGTTGTCAAGTATGTTTTTTAAGGCTTCCCAATTTCTCTTTCGCAACTGCTTTGCTTGTTCCTAAATCAAAAGTATGAACACATGTTTTGAAGTTCAAAGAGAATATAATATTGAAGTGCAATTAGTGATGGTTTCTTTACATTCTAACTCACGACCAAATTTCAGATGTTACCTATTTACTTTAAATATCAACACTATTTACCTTTCCAGTGCTCTTGCCTAACTACTTGGTTTGGTACTTACCTTTAATTTCTTCACTTCTCCTCTAAAGCTGGAATCTGGAAACCAAGCCCCTCCCCAACGCCCCCACCTCCATAATCTCTCTTCCTATAACTATGCATTATATAGACACGGTGTAAAACTAAGGTTACTGGAGACAAATCACACAATGGGTAAATGCTAAGGTTGTCAACCACTTGCAGCTATGTTAAAATTCTTGTTATTAATATGTTTTTATAAATCTCTTGCAGACTGGATAATATACAACTTAGTGCATAATAAAATAGACATGAGCAAAATAAGTGTTTTAAAACACTATGCTACAAGTACATTCTAGTGGAAACAATTACACATTACTGCCCTTTTTGTAAAAGAATCATAAATAGATGCATATGAGCAAAACTACTGAGTACTTTTTAAACCTAATTAGCTAAAAAAGTATCTTTCAAAGTGGGCATAAAACAGCCAATTAATGATAATTCAAGTAACAGCTGGATAAATCTGTACCTATTATATCCACATCAATACTTACTGTAGGAGCTAACCACTTTTAAACCTAACTTCTAATAACCAGATCTGTGCCACATAAACTGGATAAACTAACCAACAGAAACGGACATGTTATAAGGTAACTCCTAATGAGAATGAAGAAACGTCTTGTTTTATCTATAAATACCAATAACTACGACTGAATAATACCTTTTCTTTTTTTGAAAGAAAGAATAAAACATCTTCATAGATTTCAAGACGATCACGTTCCGATATTGCATTCCAGACTTCCATCTCTCCAAACATTTGCTCTGCTTTTCTATTTGTTAAAAAAATTAAATGTTACTCTATATTATACAATAAAAGTGAATTTGAAGCCATTTTAATTTTATACTAAATTTAAAACCACCAAATGAACAATTTTTCCACTCTTAAGTTCATAACTATTATAAAGGAAACTTTTTGCATAGTTAAGAAAAAGAAAACAACAGCTTAGGCCTCCATTTCTCCTTAAGAGATAGAGGAGATAATTCCAACTTAGCAATGTTTTGCAGTCAAGACTATCTCTATTCCTAGGGTAGCTACAGAGATTACGAAACTGCCCATGAACTAAATTATAGACTTCAAAAAGTTGTCAGAAATTTGGGTAAGACTGAAAATAGGACTACTTAAAGAAATAACGAAGAGTCCTTCACTAAGACTCTTCTGGAAGAGTGAGGAAAATCAAGAAAGCACACAGGGAAAATGAACTTAATAGCTTATTGGAAAAATGTTAATACTAATTACCCACAATTTTAAATAATAAAGCACTCTAAAAATGAAGAGTGCTATATAAATGCCAAGTTTTCAAAATGCTATACTTAATGAAAATACCTGTTTCTATTCCACAAATATCAAAAATTTCAATCCTTATATTAGCTAGACAGTAGTCAAGCTTTGACTACTAAATCTCTCTCCTTTTTGTTCTAGTCCCTAATTAATAACTCAATAAGTCTATAAGTTAAATTCCACATTTAATACTGATTTGTCTTGTACCTTATGAAACTGCTACAGTCACAACCATTTAGTTTTATTTAATAAGCATCTACTCTGGGTTAGTTACTGCACTTGGCAAAGTCTGACACAGTAACAGTGCGGTAAATATACACCATGCACCACTAAAAATCTTACTTGTATCTGGTTGTGGAAGTCATTTTCTCATGGTTTTCAAGAAAACGCTGAAAGGATTCCTTAGCCTCTTTGTATTTTGATCTTGCTTCTTCTTTTTCTTCTTTCTCTGTCTGGACTTTATAAGCATTAAAGGCCTGCTTTTTTTCACTCAACTTTGCTAAAGCACTAAACAATAGAAAAATACCATACAAGAGTAAATGAAGGCAGGATGATCAAATGTTAGTGCTTTGAAAAACAATACAATTGACTTCATTCACAAATTAAGAAAATTTCAGCCAGATATTAAAGATAAATGATTACAGAAAATAATTTCTACTTCAAAAATAATTCTAATTTCATCTGTAGCAGGGCGCTCAAATTATATCACAAACTTTTTGGCTTTTTTGGTTCACAGACATAAAACAACTCTATTATTATTCAAAATAACAGAAGACAATGGGAATGAAAAGTTATACTATTTAACAGTTTTGAATTTGCTAGGCTTGCTATGCTCAAAGTGAAAAGTAAATTAAAAAAATCACAGTATTACCTGTATCGTGGATCATTAATGATCATTTTCATAGCTTGCTCCCATGAAGCGTTGGATGGTACCCGCTGAAAATCATTTAATAAAAAAAATCAAAATTTCGCAAAAATATAGTTAAGTCATACAACACGAAACACAGTATAATACTCACTGCAAACATCAAGTACTTCCCTTTGCAGGAGTTTGAAAAAAGGTCTAAAAAAATAATTTCTTATTGAAGCAAAGCAAATCTGGGTAATATACCTATAGACTAAAAAGGAAACTTAAACTCAATTCAAACAGAGCACAAATACTTTTTCTTAAGACTACTGATTAAAAGATAAACAATTTTTATTAACAAAAAATCTTAAATACTTAGGTGGAATGTACTATGTAGTACCTTGTACCCAACAGTATTTTGTGTTCAAAGTCAGTCTTAGAAAGTGTTCTTCAAAAAAAAAAAAGAGACATTTAGTTCATTTTCAGTTTATGAAATTAGTATTTTCAATAAAGGCTTCAAGGTACTGATTGCATTAAAGAGTAACTTAATTTACTAGACAATTATATATTTATATACAGTATATATTTACTTATATATTATATAAAAATCAGCAATATAAATACCTTTTCTTTCAATAATTCTTTAAATGCTTGCTTTGCCTCCTCCTTTGTATTCCAAGTGTACGTTTTCTTTGCTGGTTGGCTTTCCTCCTCTTCTTTTTTGGGAGTAAAACTAGAAAGAAATTTAAATGTTTTTTATAATTTAAGTAAACATTTGCTTCATTTAAAAAAATGCTTTATTATTTAAATGTTTGATGTTGAGCCAAAATTTGGTAATTTTAGAATAAACTGTCTCCTATATGAACCCTACACACTTACCTGAACATAGAACACTAAACTAAAACACTAGTTCCACTAGTCCACAACTTAACACTTTTAAATGGCTTATAAAACTTATTCAATGCCTTCCTTTTAGTGCCTTAATGATCGAGGATTTGGGTAAATGTGCATAAATATAAAAAAGATGTAGAGGGGCCAGCCCAGTGGCATAGTGGTTGGGTTCATGCACTGTGCTTTGGTGGCCTGGGGTTTGCAGGTTTGGATCCTGGGTGCGGACCTACATGTGGCTAATCAAACCACACTGCGGTGGTGTCCAACATACAGAGTGGAGGAGGACTAGCACAGATGTTGGCTGGACGACAATCTTCCTCAAGCAAAAAGAAGACTGGCAAGAGATGTTAGCTCAAGGCCAATCTTCCTCACCAAAAAAAAAAAAAAAAAAAAAAGATGTAGAGATCAATCTAAATCAAGGTTGGCAAACTATAACCCATGGTCCAAATTGAGCCTGCTGTTTCTGTACACACAGCTTTACTGGAACACGGCCATGCTCATGAGTTTACAGATTGTTTATGGCTGACTGTGTGCTACACAGCAGAAGTAAGTCACTGTAACAGACTTTATGACCCATAAAACCAAAAGTATTTACTCATGGCAGTTTACAAAAAAGTTTGCCAAACAGTGATGTCAAACAAAAAAAAATCAACATATCCAAGATTTATCAACTGAACATGTTTGTGGGTCTTCATGAAATGAAAAACTTGTATAATACTGACATTTCTTCCTATATAAAAAGAAAAGAATGCAGAAAAAACAAAAACAAAAGAAACTAAGTCAAATCTAAGCAGAATTCTGGAGTACTCATTATGAATGCTGGAGTACATATTCACAAAAAAATAAAAATATATTCACACCCTCTGAATGAAGTAACCTTATTTTGGGAAATTTATTTAAAAATGTCAAAAATATTGTAAAGAGCCTGGTCAAAAATTAACAGTTGTAAATGGTCTGTATTACAGTAATTAAAACAATGTTATTCCAAAAGCTTAAATGTCTATCAGTAAAAGAACACTTAAATTTATATATATGTAAATAATAATTAATAGGCCATCACTCAAAATGATGATGTATCTCTATCGATGTGGAAGATGTCTCTTATATTTTTGAAATATGTCTGCACAAATTTTAAATAAATAGAAAAAAGGCAGAAGGATATAAGTAAAATACTAACTTTTTTAAACTTCTAAACACCAGAAAAAATTAAAGCTATTTCCCCTTTGGGAATATACATAAGAAAAATAAGCAAAAGAATATTTACAAAAAGGGGTAAGAAGATGGAAGTATGAGTGATCGTATCTGGATCTTGACATCATGGTTAACACTGTTAAAGTCTAAGAAATACAGCTCGAGGTTACTTTTTATAGCTGTATAAAGCATAGCCACATGAAATATTACTAGATCATAGAGACACAAGTACACGCTAACTGTAAAGTGACAGATGCAGCCATTTTGCCTTATTAAAAAGTTGTACCAATTTAATCTCACTAACAGTTTTCCTACACCCTAAGTGTTATCTTAATTTTTGTCTACTTGATTTTTCCATCTGTTTGTTCAACATCAAACTACAGCACTTCCTTGCAGTGCTGTGCTGAGCCACATTTGAGACTGAGGCAAAAGACAGAAAATCAGTAATACTAATCCTGTCTTTGCTTAAAATTTTGCTATTTTATCAATCATGGACTTTTTGCACTGATTTTAATATTGCATCATAATATATCTTGATTACTAAGGTTTTTAGTATCCCCTTAAATTTGTGCCTCATCCTAGTCCGAACTCTGCTTCGTAAAATTTCTGTGGATTAGTTTTGCAACAGTTTGATAGTAAGGTCCCACAAAATTCAGTCTCAAAAATGATACAATATCTAAAGGTTTATGTTTTGATTCTCAAAATTTTTTTTTTTTTTAAAGATTGGCACCTGAGCTAACAACTATTGCCGATCTTTTTTTTTTTTTTTCTGCTTTATCTCCCCAAATCCCCCAGGTACATAGTTGTATATCTTAGTTGCAGGTCCTTCTAGTTGTGGCATGTGGGACGCCGCCTCAACATGGCCTGATGAGTGGTGTCATGTCTGCGCCCAGGATCCAAACCAGTGAAAGCCTGGGCTGCCACAGCGGAGCACGTGAACTTAACCACTTGGCCACGGGGCTGGCCCCTCAAAAAATTTTTAAACACTTAACGGCCACTGACTAAACTGGCACTTTCTTGTATTAATGAAATCTGGTACTGATTTGCAGCAGACAAGATACTAAACTTACTCAGCTACAGTTTCCTGCTTAGATGTTTCTTCTCCCGTATTGCTGGATACTTCAACACTTGGATCCTGAACAGCAGGGGTACTACTAAGTTGTGCTTGTTCTTCAGTTGAAATTGTTACTGTATTTTCATTATCTACAACAGTAGCAACAATTGAAGTAACTTCAGGCTCAGGAACAACTGGAACAGTTCCACCAACAGTATTAGAAGCAGAGGTGGAAGCACTGGCATTGGCTGCAGCGGCGGCTGCTGCGGCGGCGGCTGCTGCTGCAACAACAGCAGCTGCTGCTTCTGCAGCAGCCATGGTGCTCATTGTGGTCGGAATTTCTGTTGTAGGAACTGGGGCTGCTGAAGTTGTGGTGCACTCTTCTTGCTTACTATACATTTAAAAAAGAGAAAACTGGTCATTTCATTACTAATAATCAGGAAGCCAAACAAAGCTAGATTTTAAATACCATAAAACCAAATGAATAAGAGAAACTGTTAAAAGGCAAAAAAGGCAGTGCTGCCAAACTACTAAGCCATTCAAAAGAGTAAAACTACATAATGAAAGTGGATTACTTTGATTTAATTCAGCAAACATTCGTGATAATGTATGACAGGCACTCATGCAACACTCTGCATTTCCAAAAGTCCAATAATTGTCTTCATTTACACAATGTCCTATCAGATTGTATTATGCCATAAAATTTGACCTATATCATAAATTTCTGTCAGAACTTTAAATTGCACCCATTTTACCTTTTAAAAGGAAAATCTGAGTAAACGAAGATATATATAAATATATATTTCATCCATGCCCAAATTAACTCAAACCAAATTCTGGACTTTTCTATAACAAAGTCCTCTTAATTCTTAAAGGATACAGTCCAAATTCAAATAATCACTGTCTAGTAAAGCATTATTTGTATATCTTGAGTAAATATCCTCCTTCCTGCCCCAAATCCTCCAAGGTCATCAAACCATCAGGTCTAACATTAAATATTATTTATACAGAGTTAAAACAAGGGTGTTACAGTAACATTTACAAATTTGTAATATATAGTGATGTCTAAAACTGCTTACCTGCTTTCTTCAGCTTTGATCATTGCTATTAAAGAGAAAAAAGAAAAGTTACAATACTATATAGTTTTTAAACACAATCACTGAAAACAAACTTTAAAGGAGATAAAGAAAAGTTTCATACAATAAGATTTAATTTACCATCCTAAAAAAGAAAAAAAAAAACCTCCACTTTTACTGAGCAAATGCTTGCTCCAAAGTTCCAGGGAAGCAATTAAAGAATGAAGACAAATTTAAATAATACCAATTTTTAGGACAGTTTCTCCCCACACTGCTACTTTCCCAAAGGCTGCTTGGGCTACTGCAAAAATTCCCTGAAAGTATCTGCATAGTTCTGGAATAAAATAGTATTTTCTCCAGGGATAAAACGATTTGTCTTTTTTTTAAGATACTAAATTCAAAACAGAATCAAACTCATGTTATGAAATTCCAGCACATATATACTAGCATTGAGAGGCAGATAGATACTTATGCACACCAACTATTTGTAGTAGGGTTATATCAGAAGTGAGCTTGATATTTCTTACTAAACTGAGAATCTACCTATCTACAATATCATCATTAGCCAATGCTAGCATAGAAATTTAAATTGAGCTTTAATGATTTAGACTCATTATTTCAGTTTTCATTCTAGTTAAAGGAAATTTTTCTTAGGGACAACAAAAATATTTCATTTACTCAGCATTATTAGGGAATAAGGTGCTCCATGTAAGTGATGATATAAACTTAACTCTATGAAAATAATTTAAAAGCTTATCCCCCTTTAAAGGAAATCACTTGTGAAAATCTGTCTGGGATGGCTGACCCTTATATTATGTTTTAAAGGAGTCATCACTACTAAGATAAATTAACATATTTTTTGGAGAAAATGATGATATAAGCCAATGAGGTGACAAAGGAAAAGGTAAACAAATTTAAGACTGCAGGGCTTTTAAGAAATTTTTTTTCTCTCTTTCCTGTCAGTTGTTATTCCACATTGAAGACTACTTTATTAGGCCCATTCTCCTACAATCTGTTGCTTCTAACCTGATATAGTTTATGACACCAGATTTTATTAGAAGCGAGAGAAGAACTAAATTCTCAATTCTAACTCATAATCACTGCTATTTTAAGTCCTGGGTTTTATATTGAATAGTATATCTAGGTTTTCAGGGTATTCTGAATAGCTGAAGATGTTGAAAAATCTTCCCTTTGTAAGCGAGGCATGATATTTTGTTTACTTCAATTCTCCCATAACAAATATTTGCTATTTAGCAATGTTGTGCTAAAATAAAATCAGCATTCAATGTACAGTCTGACAATATATTGACAAAATTTAAACTAATAAGGATTCAAGGTTCTCTGCTATCTGCTAAATGGATTAAGTCACATATTCCATGTATGCACCAACACTCACAGCTCTATTTGGAAATATTGTACATGACGTCCTTGTTCAATTTCCCAATGGTAAATGTTGTTTTTTTTTTTTTTTAAAAAAATCAAAGTACAACTTTAAAAGGTATAAGCTCATTTATAATATAACCCTTAAATGAAAGGAATTCATTGAATTAGAGATTTCTCACTGCAGATTTATCCAATCATGGTTAGTGAACATTAGTGACATACTCTAAAAATGTTAAATAATGACAGAAAATGAATTATCAAAGCAGCTCACCATGCAGGTTTGATTTTGTAATAAGACTTCCAGCAACAATGGTATTCTGGTATCCTAGTTTCAGTGGAATCAAATCAAATAAAAATCTATTTAAAATCTATAGAACTGAGATCTAGAGCAACAAGAAAACTGTTACACCATGTAAAACGTTCTAATCATTTAATTTTTAAAAATAAGGTGTTTGTTTGAACAATCCTATTTATGAAGGATTAATTCTTTCAATGTGAATGACATAGATATGTAAAAAATTAACATTAAAAATTATTTTTTCCTGTTTTACCTTCAAGATCCTCAAGTTCTTTAGGTTTGGCCCAGCGAGATTCTTTTGTTTGAGAATTATAATAATAAGGTTTTCCAGAGTCAGATTTGTACTCCTTCCAGGGGCATTTAGACAAAAGTTGCTAAAGGGAAATAAAAACCTTCAGTTAAGAGTAATATAATTAGAATCACTCATCATTCATATCACCATTTTCACTAGGTATTATCAATCTATACAGTTCTAAAGCTTATGAGATGATGGTAATATAAGCTACCAATTATAAGATACGAAGTGATGTTAAATATATTATTTAATCTGTAATATAATATTGAAACATTTGTACAATTGTTCCAAATTCATATGGTTACTTAGAGAAAGTAATTTGTCTAAGGTAACTATCTAATAAGGGGAGGGGGCAAGACTCAAAACCAGGTCTTTCTGAATTTCAAATCTTACATGCTCTTGCCATTTATACTCCACCACAAGTAAAAAATCAGCATCTATATTTCAAAAACAAGACTTCTCAAATACTAATGTAAGTAGGAAAAACAAAAATTATGAAAAAGCAAAATCTGGTTTAGTCATGCTTAGATTTCAGTTTCTTGATAAATAATTTATTACAAACCTATGTGAATTACCGTACGTAAGAAACAATATAAGTATGATATATTTAAAACCTAATCTATAAAATCAGTTAGGGTGGTATGAGAATGCTATTGAAAATTCAAATCTAGACAGTGTCTTGGGCAAATATTTAATTGAAATAACTATGTCGGTACTGGGATAGGCACAAAATTATAATATCTACAAACCTCCCCTGCCAAGTACTGCTGTGCATATTAGTGTGGTGGCCTGGAAAATACTTTTACCTCCTCAAATTCCTTAATTAACAGGGGAGGAAAAAAGATGCTGCCAACTGAGAAAAATCTTAAGCATAGTCTGAAATGCCAGATCAACTCTTACTTAGGACTCCAGATTTCCTAATTAAACCACAAGCAATATTGCTTACTCAGTATACTCCTTCAATCTGTCCTGTATATCTGGATATTTTGAATGGCAAAATTTGCAACATAAAATTAAACATACATACTTTTTGTGGGGCATTTTCCAAAGAGACAATTTCCCACTCGAAGAGAAGGAAGTATTTGTACATGTAATTTAAATTCATCTCCATTACCCCAACCCCATTGGAAATGTTTAGAAACTTAGTGGGAGACATTTGAAATCACCCAGGTTTGCTATAAAGAAGGAAACAATCTGAAATGTGAATTTACAAAATAAAGGGGAAGCAGAGAGATAGTCCTTTTTTTCTTCCAATTTATTCTTTAAATCACCCTTCTTAAATTGATGGCACCCAGCCAGGGTTCCTGAGCAGGGACAAAAATCAGTAAAATAAAATTAGTCTGTCAATAGAAAAGAATGAGTTTTATCTGTCTTTTGCTGATTCATGTGACTGTATTAACACTTTTCTCCTCTGAATGCCTTTGTAGCATCCTTTTCTGAGATATAAGCAGTACAATTTTTTTGGATAGTCCATTACCCATAAAATCCTAAAAAAAATATGTCCCAGTCTACTGAACAATCGCTAATTTCCAGCCCTCAAATTTTTACCTCAGCAGGTGTTTTAAGATCATCTGGTTTCTCCCAAGTAGACTGTTTTGTTTCAGTATTGTAGTAGTAAGTCCTTCCATCAGGTGATTTATGTTCAGTCCACATTGACTTCTAAAGAAAAAAAAATCACAAAAAGATTTAAATTATGTAACAGTGCCACTGACAGTGAATATCAGTATCATTAATTTCAAAGCAATATACAAAGAAATTAAAAGTCGGAAATGGGCATACATTTGACAGTTTAAGTCATTTAGAATAATTCATCATTATTCTATGAAGGTAATTGAAAAACAGAAAATTTTGAAGACACTTCAAAAGCAGCATGGACCAATTCAAGTTTTAGGATTTCTCTCTATTCTATAAAGTCTCAGAATTATAAGGATATGACTGCTCTCTTAATAACTAGTCTCTAACTTACGCACATAAGACAAACTTTCATCAACATAAAACCTATGCTTTGTGGATAAAAGAAAATATATGAATTAGATGCTAATATAGTATAGGTAGATTAATCATGAGCTCAACATCTCTAATCCAAAGAGTATTTATATCAAGTTAGGTAAAGTTTTAAATTAACATGGCAAAGATGAAGCTGTCAAAATTAGAAAGGATGGCTTTTGGATGACAATCAGAGTTTAACAATCAACAAGGTGAAACTTAATAGGAACAAAATGTGAATCTAAATTCCTCACCACAAGAAAGGTGAGACAAAGTTTTATGTGAAACTTGCTTGATATAGCATATTAAATCCACTCTTGGGGTCCAAAAGAACTACTAAGAGCCTACTAAAATGTGCTAGTAAAATTTCAAGCATCAACAGACATGATCTCTCAGATAAAGGTTGGTTAAGAGTTTTACAAGCTTACCATACATACATGCACGTGCACACACACACACAAAATAATAATAAAAGGGCTGGGAGGAAACTTCGGAAGGTGACAGATGTCTCTGGTCTTGGTGGTGGTGATAGTTTCACAGGTGTACACTTATTCCCAAATTCATCCAGTTGTACACATTAAATAGCTGCAGCTTTTGTATGTCAATCATACCTTAATGAAGTGGTTTTAAAAAAGCAGTTTTACAAGGAATCATGAATGAATGAATTACTGGATGAGATCAAACATACTAAGTTCAGTTCTGGGCACCAGATTTTTCAGATGGTAACAAACTAAAGTGTGCTTCAAAGAGTTACAGACATGACCTATACCACATTTCTTCAAATCTAAGATAAAACATTATTGTACATAACTCTAGAAAAGTAAAATCACTGTCAAACTATCTCATGCTTTTTACCACTCAGATTTCACATTAAACTTTTTGAAAAGATTTACTTTTACTGAGACATTGGTTTTATCACATATCACTTTTGTGAATACATATAAAGAAAAACAGACAAATGAAATGGTTAAGCTATTTTTTAAACTTCATATTGAGAACAGTTTTTGTATCTCAAAATTTTGCTGATGTCCACTATATTCCATACAATATCATCCTCTGTGGCATCAACAATGTCAGGAATGCAGCATTTCTTTAAAAGAAAAAACATAAAATAAAACCACCGGTATTGATTCTTAATTTTCTTCTGTACTTATTTAAAGCTCACCTACCTTTCTTTCTTCCTTATCAACTTTATTGAGTAACAGAGCAGACATACTTTTGATTCCTGCTTTGGGAATAGGGCTAAACACATGATCCACTGCTTTTCCTCTCTCTCATCATAATCATTTTACTCCTAGCTCATATAAGAGTGCTGTTCCATTATTTCTGGGATTTTCTTCCAAACTACTGACATTCGTTCTCCTGATGTTGGCACTTTTGCTGTTTCACTATGCACAACTAAGCCATAACTGCTGCCTGGAGAACGAAGATCATAAGACACTATGGATTATAGGATGCATCCCAATTTCAGACTTATTTAATGGTGAAAATAAATATGCTAATTGAAAACTAGCTAAATTAAGAAACATTCGCAAAACGTGGGGATGGAGGACAAGAAAAGATGACTTAAGGAGCACAGAAATCAATGTAACTTTAACAAAAAACGAGGTAAAATGATTATTTTCCCTAAATTCTAAGAGAATTAGAGTTAATGTGAAGAAATTATACCCATTAGAATTCAAAGAAAGCACTTGATAAAATTTGAGCTGTTTGATAACAAAATGATTGGCCCTTCCCATAGAAATCCATTAAGTCATCTGACACTACTATTTACACAATAGATTTCTGAATGATGTAGCGGGATAGTTAGATAATTCCAAAGGGTATTAAATTCTTTAACTTGCTTCTAGCACCTTGTATAGGATATGACAACTATAATCTCTCTGAAGCAAAATTAAATAGCTCTGGAAAATATTTAGCTTGCTGTCACTCATCTATTTATTATAACATATTCTAATCAAAAGGTGATGCAATTAGAGACATATATGGAAGATTTAAATGTAATGAGTAATGCTTTATATCATAAATTAAATGGCATTGAGTTTTCTATTTCTTTATTTTTAAAAAAATGAACTCAGTAGCATCTCAGAACTGCACTATCTAATGAAAAGTCTACTATAAGTTCCAAAATCACATTTAAACTTCTCAAGTCACATCTGCTAAAAGCATCAAGAGGAAGTTCACCAGAAATAAACTTATGAGATCACGGAATAAAAAAGAAGGGGCAATGTATACTTGACCAAGTAATGGGGAAAAAGAAGGGAAGTATACAAATCAGTAAAGCAATTTAGTAAACAGTAAGCAATTTAGTATTCACTATCTATTACTTTATTTGAGCCTTACAACTAACACTACAAAGCAGGTATGACCATTTTTCAAGTACGAAAACCAAGACTTAGGAGGTTTGCTAACTGGCTCATAGTGTTTCAGGAAATAAATGATAAAACTAGAACAATTAGTCATCTCTGTCCTAAAGATCACATTTTACCCACCCTGAATTAATGTTTCATGCTTGCTGTATTCAGGGACAGTCTAATTATCAATAAGGACAGATAAATTCCTGATTAACTACTAAATATTAAACCCTGTGCTAATTGCTTTGCATCAATTCTAAGTTAATTATTTTAATAACCCCATGAGGTAGTATTTATTATCTCCACTTTATAGAAGAGAAAACGGAGCATAAGAAAGTAACATGCCCAAGGTAACATAGGTGGCTAGTGAGTTCATTACAACATTGTCCTGGCTCAAACTAAGGTCCTATTAAGGAGGAAGGTTCCAACTCTTTGCATTGATAGAAATAATCATTCCAGACAGGAATATAAATTCTGCACTAATGTTTTAACTAATATACTAAATTCATTTATACAAGTCAATTCTCAAGTGAGAAAAATGATTTATTTGATAAAGTTTTTACTCCTTTTCCTTCAAAGTATCGAATGTGCAACTTGAAGTAAAACTGTAGTTTATCTTGCTTCTTGCCAAAACTAATAATTAGTATTTTAAAAGGAAAATTTAAAAACAAATGTATCTGAACGTTGAGTATAACACGAAAAATGGCATAAAACATTAAGGGATATATCAACAACTACAACTAGAAAGTTATCTTCATAAGATAAAATATGACTTATGCAAGGAGTTATTAAGTACTGATAGTCATATTAGCATGGTCTATTCACAAAACTTATTTTCCTATAAAATTACTATTTTTGTTTTAAACACAAGACCTCTCCAGAGCCATAAGCAAATGCTGCTTATCAAAGACGTAGACTGCCCTTGCAGAACTGGGGAAAACCTAACAAAGACTTGGATGTGTATTTTGAATGGGCTAAAGCCACGATATTACTTTTAACCTTAAGGTTAGTTGCTTTGGGACCTTGCAGGAATTATTAAGATATTCCTTGCAATGAAGCTTTAGTATTACTCTGCACTTTTGTCACAGATGACACCATTCCCAAAATTATTTTATTACTGAGACATTTACTGTACTAATAAAATATTGTTGACACAAATGGCAGTTCTGGGGAATCAAAAGTTAAGATTTTATATTTGCAAAATGAGAGATTAAAAAATCATTATCCTATAAATATACAAAATACCTATAGATATACCTAAAGACAATGTTGTAATGAACTCACTAGCTAGCTATGTTACCTTGGACATGTTACTTTCTTATCGTATATCTTTTGTATATCATATTTCTTTTGTATATCAAAAGATACACAAAAATCTGCCACAATCAGTAAGACAATCTAAAGGAAAAATAAACACGGCCATTAACAGAACTCAATACAAATAATATAATTAGACGTTCAACTTCATTAGTAAATCAAGGAAGCACACATTAAAATGAAAACTACTTTGCTCCTCAGATGAATGACAAAGAACAAAGACTTTAGTATACAATGTAAAAAGGGTGTGAAGAAAAGGGTACTCTCATACTGCTGTTGGGAATGAAATTAATATTATTTCTCTAAAGGGCAATTTAGTAGATCTTATCAAAATTTAAAATTAAAACACAATCTCTTGATCCTGAAATTTCACTTCTCAAAATCCCATTCACATAGTTTCAAAATTGTACAAGGATGTTCTCCACAAGACTACTTGTAATGGTGAAAAATGAGAGATAATTCAACATGCACTCAGAGGAAAACAGTCCAAATATGACCCATTTGTACTATAGACATAGCTTATGCAGATCTATTTTTAATATAATGGAAAATGTATTAAGATGCAGTGTTAGAAAAAGAGTAAGACCTTGTAACAAACGATGTAGTGAGAAAATACATGCAGAACATACTTCAAAGGCAACTCACCCCCACCCCCCACAAAAAACCTAGGTATAAGGAAAAAAATGCACATATATTATTATCAAGAAAGCTAATATACTTTCCAGATTCAAAAAGGCCAGTTAACAATTGGGTTGTGAATAAATTCAGTACACTCAAACTTAACTATGTATATGTAATACAAATATATTCATACAATGTATAAGCTCAAGTGAATGAAACTGAAAGAGAAAAAAATGACTAAATCTAAACATTAACTAGGTAGAAAATCTCACAACTCTAAATAAGGAAAATAAGAAGCCAAAATAAAAGATCAGAATTAAGGAAGAACATAAACACAGACATAGAACAGATTTACAACAAATTTCAAAATCTAGAGGAAAT